GGCTATTCAAAAAATACATAGCAAATTAGGGAAAAACTTAAGAAATAAATCAGAAGTAAAAATCAAATGCTAATAAATGACTAAAGAAAATATTTTTATGAAATTAGAAATAGTATTTATAATACACTGAAGATGTAGAGTAATAGCTTGAAGAGTTACCTCTCCTCTCCCCTCACAATAAAACATGTAATTAAACCAGTATTGAAATAATCCATAAAAAATTCCTCAACAAAATTAAAATATGAATTTATATTTCAACAATACTTGAACAAAAATGCAATTAAAAAAAGAACACATTTAAAAATTCTTCAATATGATCCATTTTGATTAATTTCATGCAATCAAATTCTATGATTTCTTATAGATTTCTAAAAAATATATAATTGTATGACAAAAATGTCCAATACTATTTCTCAGTCAGATATCCCAGCTGCATTAAGAGGTAATTAACTATTAAGTTACAGAATGGTCTAATACACCCCCCTCCTTTTATGCATCTGATATTGTTTTCATTGCAATGTCAAAAATCCCTCTGATTATTTACATGTCAAATGCATTCTACTTTGTCAAAAAATACATTTTGGTCATACAGAATAAAGAAATCCATCTGACATAGCACTGTAAAATTCACAACTTTCTATTTCATAGAATAATAAGAATATCATTGAAGAAATATGATCAGTACTCTTTCAAATTGATCAAAAGTCATTTTATTCCATGAACAGGTAGGATAATAACATTTAATAGGCCATTCCAAGTCTTTTTTCTGTTTGGCATCCAATTGCACCTTGGTTTTTGACACCTACATGTATCAGAAAATCAAACAAAATCAGAACCCCTACACTTGATTATTTTTGTTGAAATCTTTTGAGTTCTGTCAATTTCTCAAATATGTACAATAAATATGTCATAGGTGGTGTACTTTAGGCATTTATTATTTTGATTTTGCTGAAGTTAGGTTTTTGATTGAAGGTTGGACGCTAAACAGAGAAAAAAAAAACTTAAAATGGGCTTAGTCTAAAACCGTCCTTGACCTGAGACATAAAATGACATAAACTATACCTAAAAATTAAAAACAAAATGACAATGCTGCACTGGGACATAACACTTGATGCAGGACATTTTATATAAAAAGTTAAAAAAAAAATTCTACATGAATATCTGGAGCAGCTTATTAACAAGCCTGAAAAACACTCACAGCGTAGATTATGCATGATAGAGAATATCTGTTGATTGGCCTATTACTGAACCCGACATCACAAGTCGACATTAAATTATGCATACATTTTTTTTAAAAAGAATAATCTACACTCTACAGCAGTGTAATACTGCACCTGACATATACAAAACATAACATAGTGCAATAAACATGAAAGGGTGCATGTGGAGTGATCTATTTAATACCACACTAGACATAAAACAGGGTAGATTAAATATGAAAAATGGGAAAAAAAATCTATATGTGGAGTGATTAGTTTCCACTTTAAATGTAACACTCAATCAAGAGATACATGTTCCTGGTAATATAAAGCTGATAAAGAAAAGTAGTCTATTGACTATGTTAGTTTATTTTCAACAAGCGATTCTTGTCCTGCTCTTTTTTGGAAGGGATGGAAAGTCATTTTGCCGTCGAGCTGCAGTAGTTGAATCATCATCAGCATGAATGGTCTAGACTTCACATTCATATATCTTGTACTCTGTACTGATGAATCTATCTGTAATTTATAAAATTTAACAAATACAATATTATCTGCAGTCGACGTCAAAATATATTTCCCACGATGTCTATATCCTATACCGTAAATCTGGAAATTTTTGCGTCGATTTTATTTTGCGAATTCGAGTCAAAATGCTGTTGATTAATTTTTACGTTTCAAAATTTTGCGAATGACCACTGCTTTTTTTTTTACATTTTCTTATTGGTAATTTATTTTAAAGAAAAATATTTTTGCGAATGCAATGAACTCGCAAATTTGCTAAAAATTTATCTACAGCAAAAATTTCCAGATTTACGGTATATAGAATTTTGGTGAAAAACATGTATATGTAACAGGAAAACAGAAAATGTATGGATGGACAGGGAGTCAAACCTGAGACCCCTGCATCACTAGTCATGTGCTATATCGAATGAGCTACCCTGGACAATATATATCCATGGCCCAAACCATTACATATTACATACCTGTATGTATAACTTGCAAAAGTTTACACCTCATACCGGTAAATTGCCAATTTTCTACACTTATTAAATTTGGCATAGCAAAATCTAAATGATGACTTAACCATTATCACTATTATGCTGACAGCAAGATCCCCTGGTCTGCTATCCAGCATCAAAAATGCAATTCAACTGGTCCTGTTTAGCATTCTTCATCTCTGACTAGCTATCCAACAACACTCTTTGGCCTGGTTCCACAATTAACAGAGGTCAACATCTTTATTTCGTCAAAGTAGCAAAACCAAATAGGTGAAGTGTTACATTACATGTACGGGTGCTGAGACCATATACTACATGTATGGGTTGGTGGTCCTATACCAGAAAGTACCATCTTGGTGGCTGAAAAAAAAATAGATCAAATAAATATACATATATATCAGCAAATCCAAAATTTAATTATATTAGTTGATTGGCAAATCACTTTTTAACCAGAAAATCTAACATTAAATTAAAATGCCCCACTGCCTGGCCAAAATTCTAACTATACAGCAGCAGTAATATAAAGATTTGTCAATTTCATCAGACCAGCAAACAACATGTAAACAGTTTCAATGTTTACCATACTGACACAGTTTTTACCAGTGAAGAAAAACAAAAATAATCTGTCAATGGTTCGACACTAAAGGTAGCCCGCTGGCCCGCGACAACTGAATATTGAGTTCGGACTACTAAACATGCCTTTAAACTTGCCCTGCAGGGCCCGGCGCTACTGTAAATTTTACCATACACTCACTCAGAGCAACAAAAATAATTATAATTTACACAAAATGTACCTGATTATTGATAAATTAATTTAATTTTCAAACATGTTTTATCCTTAAAGTTATTTTTGTAAGTGAAAATGTAAATTTTAAAGGTGATTCGAAAGACCCTTAATGATTATATAAGTGGAATTTTTTGAATAGAAAAATGTCTTAGGTACAGTCTGACAAAAATTAGGGCCCCAGTGAATTTGGAATTAAAAATAAATTATCTGTCCTTCACTGCAAACACATAATCTGACATCCATAAAATTTGCCCCCCCCCCCCGTTCCCACCCCCATCAAATGAATGACAGTTCCTTTATTACATTCTCTGAATTTACTAATACTAGGGTGAAGTTTAACAGTTTAATACTGAATTAAAATATGGCTATTATTATGAAAGTATGTCATGTAAATATCTATATGACTTACCAAGAGCTACTTTTGAGTTGATATCAACAGTGATCATAAGCCTCTCTATCGTATTCCTTTCGGGGCCGGGATTTCCCGTGGAAAGTGTCGGTAAATCCATAAATAGTACAGTACTATCAGTCCCATTTACAATAACATGTAGGCCTAATGTATTGATACAATAAAGTACCGAGTCACCATCGCTTTCAAAGTTTTTGCCTTTATCACTGTGACTGAGAGCATATAAACTGATTTGTCAAGTTCTTCATCTCAACAAATCTTCGTACCTCTTTCGATTTCATCCATTGTCATATCATGATTCAGATTGAGATTCAAACCAGCTGCGTCGTCTGCTTTGGAATAGGGGGTGCTAGTCGGTCGTTTGCGATACACAGATATTTTAGTTCATAAAAAGGTTTTATTGTTTTCTGTTTCTTAAGATGTTATATTCTCTCATTCGCTCTAATTTACTTGATCTACCTTTACGACTGAGCTTTTCTATAACGTTTTCCGTGTACTTTTCTCGGAGCACGTTGTTTACAACATTTCTGCAGTCCGCCATATTGAACTATGCGCATTTCCGGAATAAGCCAACCGAAAAATTCTAAACTTAGAATTCACATGCAATATCACGTGATCGCTATCCGTAGCTACGTGAAATGAACTTTTTAAAATCCTTGACGACATGGGTATTACACGCAGGTGGGAGTTTCATCCCAAATCTGATATAATCATTAACTATGCTGCTCGAAAACTTGAACATACATATTCTACCTGGTACAGTGTTTTATGCATAATAATTTAGCAACAAACGTAACATAGAAGGTAACACAAACCTAAGAATATCAACGATTTTCTCCCGATTGTCTTTCTGCGTTTCAGATGTCCATCTGTCGGCTGCTGCGTGTTGTGGCACGATCAAGAGAGATTATTAGTACAAAACAAACATGCTGTGTTTGACTCTCAGATTTATAAACCGATTCAATATATTAACATTTAATCCTATTATGGTGCATTATTACAGTGCTTGTCATTTATAAAATACAAGTTTATGAAAAATTACTCATAGCTCATATTATTTTGCTATGACCTGAAATAATGTAGGTTCTGCTAGCTTTATTTGACATGATATGTAGGAATGATTGTTTTACAGTGATTGTTTTGTGCCAATTTTACAGTCATTGAACATTCAGATAATGTATTTAATCTTGGATAAAGTTGAATATATTTGTCCAGTTATTTTTCCCTTTCATGAATTTAAACTTAATGTAGTTTAACTGATTATCATGCATTTTTATCAAATTGTTGTCATTTTATCAATTCGATTGTCAGTCTATCAGCTGTCTATCAGGTAGTCGAGTCGTCTTGTGTATCAGCTAGGAGTTTTTATTAATGGCTCAGTGTGTATTGATTAGATATGTGTTTAAAATCCTTTTATTAGTCATTTAGTCATACAGTCATATAGTCATACAGGTATGTCACTATTCAATATGCATCTGTACACAGTTCAGTATTGAGTAATACTTGTTGTGTTTACTTTATCTTTGTAACTATATTTTTTCATTTGTTTACAACCTTTTACCACTTGTGTCAACACAAAAACAAAGATCTACCACATCCCTTGTGGGTTTTTTTTTTTTTTTGGACTGTGTTTGACCAGATTTTATCTGACTGTGTTTGGACCGTTAAAATTTCTCACTTTCATCGCAAAGTTCCCCCGTCCAGCCATCAGTACAACCAACAGAACAAGATCCATTGTCATGATTACAAATCATATCTTTACATGTGTTGCAAGTTTTGTTGCACTTGTATCCATATTTTCCTTGCGAACATTCTAAAAGTAAATAAAAACGTTATTTTTTTTAAATAAGGAAAAGTGTAACAAAGTTGTTTTTTCTGTTATCTTGCATTCCCTTGCCGTTTTACCTATCTGCATAATTAAGCTGTTATATAAATGCAGAACAATTTTATATACTTTTTCCACAGGTAGATCCTGATCGACGTCACATCCGGCTAAACACGCACAATTAAATATGTTAAAATGTTACACCGAAACATTCTGTTTTTAAATAAAAACGCCCAAAGTTTCCAACGAAGTTTATTTTGTATTCCCGTGTAACACTTTACACACAGGACCCGACTGAGTAACTAATTGAACACACAAATTCTACGCTAAATATTAAGAACTGAACAACCTACAGACTGTCAATCGCTGCTAAATTAACCTGTTAACTCTACTAAATTAACCTGTTAACTATGAACACTGTGAATTCTGCATTTTTTCATGGTCAGCACTTCAGACATTCAACCTCATTGAGACTCGGGTGATAAAAGTCAGCAATGATGATACAAAAGCTTAATTTCCCAGCCAAATCTAAATGAGATGTCATGATCTTATCACATAAACAGATCACTGCAGTCTGCAGTTAAGAGCAATTACTACAAATCAACAAGATTAAGATAATATAAATCTAACATTATCTATACAAACAATTTCATACAAAATTTCACTTTACAAACAACAAACATATCTAATGGTGCTTGTCCAGCCGAATGTCTCACAAGCTAATAAAAAGCATATTAACAAATGCAAACAAAAACACTATTAGAAATAAACTTTATAAACAGTTATGTAAATGTATATGAACTAAGCACATTCTGTCTTAATAAGGTAAAGCTTTAGGACAAAAATAGCAAATAGCGGATTCATTTCATTTCTTTCTTTTGTATGGTCACATGAATTTCTTACGTTGTAAACAATTATCTCCCCTGTATCCAGACACACATCCGCTAGGGCAACTTCCGGTAACTCTGTCACAATTTTCTGAATTCAAACAGTTACCACTACACGACTGGGAACAATTATATCCATACCATCCCGTCGGACATGGCTCTGAAAATTGTATTTAGGTTAGAAGAAACTTAGAACATATTGATTTTTTTTCATGCGGATCACATTAATACTAGATGATTGATAATATTCAGATAAAGGTTTTCAAATGCTCTATATAAATATTGTAGGTAATATAATTCGATTCTCACTGAAATTACTTAACATCACACGATTTGTTACTTAAATAAAATTCAAAAAAGGGTAAATATGGAATGAAAATAATTACCTTCTCTTTTTTATATGGCTTTTGATAATTATCAATTTCAACTCAAAAAATAAATAAATAACAAAATCATACGACAATATTCTCCCGAAAAGCCTGGTTTACAGTCCTTACAGCGCCCGTAGTGTCCTCCAGACTGACACTTTACACATCCGTAAACAATATGACAAATATCACAGTGCTTTCCGCATTCCGTGCAGTTTTCACCATACTGATTCACATCACAACCTCAAAAATAGATAAAAAGGAACAAAATATCATTCAAAATACCTTCAATAAAAAGATTTTACATGTATACCATTTTCATTACCTTGATCTGATGTATAATTGGGTAAGATATACAACATGCTTCTGAATACGTAATCACAAAGAATTTACTTGTGTTCTTCCAAAGAAAAAACGTGGCGTAATTTGATCAAAAAAGTATTTAATTATCATTTTTCTTATTGGTGCTACTGTTTCCATTACCATACACTTCCACTTCACATATCTCCAAGAAGGCCTGCCCTCTGTCCATAGGACTCTGTGTATTTGTATAAAACCGTAGATGTTTAGCTCTTATAGGACATTCCACTATAGATGGCATGGAAATAAGCTCATTGACAGGAGTTCTATCTTGGTAACACGTTCTCCAACCATCGTAATAATGTTGTAGATGGTAGCCATGTAACCGTATGGTATTTTCAAGTTGTCTCGTATCTGTGATTATAGGATATTTACATGTCAAGTAAAAGTGTCTGCAAGGAGAACACCTCATTTAAGGTATTACGAAACACCAATGAAATATGTTTTATCTTATTTCTTATAAGTACGCTATAAATAAAGAATATTAAAAATAATTATCTTTGTATGGAAATAAATAGCATTTGACAGGTTTTTACCATATTCTCCAAAATAAGTAAGTAAGTAAATGGTTTATTGTAGTGACATGTGTTATGTACAATTACAACAGCTGTCAACAAATATACATTTAATAGGAATTTAAACACCCGGCCCATCAGGCCTATATGTCACTTTAACAATATAGCATTCAGTAAGGATACAGAGATATTACGCATTGTGTTTACTGTAAACAATAGACTGTCTGTAAGTATATTTTCCGATCTGCCTTAGGAGATTTACTATAAGAAATTTTGTTTTGTCTAAATAAAAAATATCAGAGAATTCTAAATATTGGTCATTCAAGAGCCTACATTTTAATACATGTGAATTTCCAATTCCTATTTTTAGGTATGTTCTATTTCTTTTCTTTTTGCAATATACCGGTATCAATATAATTTATCGAAACCTAGTAACAGAAAGGTTGTATTTATAAAAAAAAAAAAGTTACACAAATTTGTAATAGATTGAACGGTGATTTTGAAAAAAATACATATTTCAAAATGCAATGTCTGATTTCAAAATCTTCTTACAGTGGACTGATAGGGCATATTTCGACTATGTCGGGGAAAATGTGTGGTTGAATTTCTTACAAATTACGTATAAAAATATATTTTGTATCATTGAACAAAATAACAAAGTTTCAGAAAAATTAATGTAATGAAAATGTTGGCCTATCTATTGTGTACTATCTTAAAGGTACTTGGACACAGATTTGAAGTCAATATTTACTCATTTTTTCTGTATAATATCACGGATTATATATTTTAATAGCATTTCACACAAAAATTAATTAAAAATCTTATTTCATTTAAAAGTTATTAAAACTTTACATTTTTTGGCGGGTTTGATTGACACATCCTTGCACTTTCACAAATTTTAACTTTATTCTTAATCCTTAGGAAAAGTGGCAATTTTGATGTGTTTTAATGAGAAATATTAAAACTTTTATCAAGAAAAATAATTTTATTCAGAGTAGAAATGTTAGAAAGCAAAACACCTTCACAAGTATCGTCATTCCGAACTAAGAGATGCGTACAGAGTTAAGCAAATCGAGCACACTCGTGTTATGTACACAGTTTTTGTAAACAGGGCTCGAGTTCTGTTATTGTTTATATTTAGAATTCACCGGGTGCGTTCAATCGTCACAGTCTGCTTACCACAACTGCACGGACTGACAATATATTGTGTGTTTGTTTTGCTTTCGAACGTGTCTACTCTGAATTTTCTGGATTATAGTATTAATATTTTTTATTTATACAAAAGGAGATTGCCACTTTTCCTAAGGATTAAAAATAAAATTAAATTTGTGAGAGTGCAAGGATATGTCAATCAAACCCGCCGAAAAATTTGAAATTTCTATATCTTTTAGACGAAATAAGATTTTTAATTAATTTTTGTGTGAAATGCTATTAAAATATATAAGTCGTTATATTATAGAGAAAATAATAACTTCAAATCTGTGTCCAAGTACCTTTAAAGACATGTATTTTCCTGAAGGACTCGTTTACTTATTAACCAAATATAAAGGAACTCTTTAATTTACAAACTTACTTATTTACTAACCACTACGAACAGTAAAATTTCATAGACCCTGCTAACTAAACAGTTCGCTGTCCAAGTTATAAGATTATTCCTATCATAAATTTACTATTTTTTCTCAAACCAAGAAAACGTGATTAATTTACTCAGGTATTAACACATCAAATTATTAAGTGATAGCATCATCCGAACAGTCCTTTCTTTAGGGTTAATTAATTTACATATTGAAAAAGTTAAACATTAAATAAAAAGCGGGTTCGGGTTTATCCAAAGAGTTGAAAATGGTTTATATTTACAATGTTTTCCGAACCAATGTTCAACATTTCAGCAATTTGAATATATTAAAATAAAATAACGAAAACTGTTCTTTCTTTCATCACAGCATGCTAATTCGTACATGTCTGTCCATTATGTAATTTTCCCATTTCTAAAACATGAACTCAAGCTCAAGCGTAAAACGTTTTTAACGTTGAATGCATGTTTCCATCATAATAAATGGAAATAAAAGGACACTTTTGAGATTTTTTCTTTGAGGGTTTTGCAATTTTCCATAACCGTTGGTCTGTCAAATAACAGAAGAATTCACCTTTTTCAATCTTCGATATTTGATTGATATGTGTTCGAAATTTATTGAGAAAACTTGAAATGATAGAAGGACTGATAAGGCACAAAAACAAAGCACGGCGACTAGCTCGAAAGGAAAATATTTACATTTTCAATTTTTTTTTATTTGAAAACTGTCAAACTATTCCACGTCTAAAACGGTTGTGAATGCCTTTTATTCATTTAGAAACTTTCACTAGTGATCCATGGTACATGTATCTTAAAGTACCAGCTTAAAAATCTGAAACACCATATTTAAATGTTATGAAATCATTTCCGTATCAAAATATCTATAATCTGTAAGGCATCTATACTACAACTGAATCCAAACTAAATACTCACGGTCATTACGGTACCAAAATTTGAAGTATTTTTCATTGAAAACTTTCTCAAGGTCAATTCGTAGCCATGCTTCTTGTTTCCCCATTCCTGTATGCGAACACGATCCACTTCGCAATGAAAGCAGGGAAGGATTCCCGTCTATTGCCCTGGATGCTGTATAATTGTTATATGTAGAACTCTGGCTGGCTTCTGTTTCACCTGGAATAACTAGTTGTCCTGGTTGTAAAAATAAAGTCATTATTATATAAAGTAAACAACGAAACCCTGAACTAGAAACCTTGATTTAGATCGACACGTTATGAAATATGTTAAATAGGGCACTTCATAAATTGTATACATTTTTCTTACAAATTGTGAATGTGTTCGTTTGTTAAAAAAGGATGTTTTCCGGAAGATTCGGAAAAAAATCATTTTTATTTATGCATTTCAGCAAACTAATTATTTAAGTAAATAAGTCATTTCTGGTATAAATGTACATACATTACATTTTGTAAATTCAAACTAATACATTCAACTGTGTTGGAGTTGTGTGTGCCAGGACACATGTTCTATTGCACACCGTTTAATGTACTTACTATATCCGTAGCAAGCATGAATCGATGTGGCCATGTAAATCATCAAAATATTTCGATATCTCATCTTTCTTTTCAGATCATTGAAATGTACCTGAAAATATTCAAGTCTTAAGGTTCATTGATACTCTGATGAGAGAGAGATAACTCTTGGTGACATAAATGTCTATTATTCCTCGATAGGTTTGCGAAGAAGGAGTGTCTTCTTTGTCAAATTTTGCCCTGCAAGCTATGCTAGAGTTGTTTGTATTTTACATAACAGACACATTTCTTCTGGAAAATTCTGAAGGTTCAAGCAACATTTTATATAAGTGAGCAGAGGGTTCATGACCTTTAAGAATAATTATGTTGAATGTTGACATACCAGGCTATCTTTTTATTTTTATAATTTTCTATTTACAACTGTAGCAGTACATGTATTTGTTTGCATTTCAAAAGAGATATGTTATTGTTTTGATGGAATGAAAATGCCAAAGGAATATTACGGTTACCAGAGAAAGACATGTTCACATGTAAGGAAGCTTGAAGGTTTCTACAATTGATGAATTATATTTTTGTACATTGTCTTACTTTTCATTGTCTTTTCAACACATAATTTTCATTTATATCTCTAATGTAGCTGGGTATTTTCACATAATTTATACAATTTTATACATCCTTGCTCTTGACAAACCACTTAATTACAACAGAAAATTAACAAATTAGGATCGCCTGAATTTACAAACCTTCAACAAGGAAGGTCTTAATCAATATGCAAAAAAAGTTCAGCGGAAATTAGCTCAAGCACGCACGACTTCGGGTTTTATTTTTTCCGTGGTGGATCTTCATTAAATTGTTATACTACACGTCCCCATTTGTATCGTGTAAACAGACTGTTTAGCTTATTGACTGTTCAATATGTCCATGCTTCATAAACTATGAAATTACTTTGTCTTCAATAAAAGTTAGATTTCTTTGTTCTCGGTGGTATAGAAGAGTCAAGACAACTTTAGTGTACAACTTTTATACCATAGTACAATGTCTATTTATCAACCCTCGATCTAGTTTTTTGTTTTGGACCAAAAAGAAAGACCGCAAGGAAATATGTGATTTTACAATATATGAAACAGGCATACATCAAATGATCTTTGGCGTTTCGTATTACATATGAGTATCATAAACAATTCAAAAAAATTCTCAACTCATTTGCTGCGTGATTGCTTCTATGCCAAAATTTGCTTACTAAATCAAGATTAGTTATCAACAATTTTAATCAGTGAAATTTGGTATTTAATATTCCTCTTATTAAAAAACAAAATAAGAATATAATATCAATTGTTAAGTATTTACGTAAGCTGAAACTCATTAAATTTAATTTTTCTACAAGATGAAATATATCAATGATCGATGAATAAACAGAGAATGAAATAATCCATGCAATCATTCAACCCAGATATATTTTAATCGAATATAAAGATGAGTGAAATTAATCGAAGATAAAGAGAAGTGAAAATATAAAATGAAAAAAATGGGGATTTTTATTTATTTGAGATTAAGAAATAAATAATAATCGTCAACCTTATGCAGTATACTCAATGCTTACCTGGAGTTTAAATACGTATTTTCATCGTGGGAAAACTCGGGCGTGTGGAGAAATGGGTTGATAATTAGGAATTAATGTCAGATTTAATTCTATCAAAAATGATTGTTATCTCGGAAATTTTCACATCTTTAATGTTAGGTCACCAGCAAAATTATTTCCTTAAAACAACTCTTATTGTACACACGAGTACTCAGAAATTGTTATTAAAAGGATGCTTGAGTTTCTCATTGACACCATTTATGTAGGCTTCGGAGACCAAGTTTTAACCTGTTGGAATTTAATTGGGCACTTATCGTCCTCTTTATAAACTGACCCGTTTTAATATTCTTATGAAGCAGAATTTATTCAAACACTTCTACATAAGAAGAGTAAAACACTAGCTGTGGACTTCCATTCGACATTACATATATCGACCATGTTTTGTCAATTAACAATACTTACTTTCATTCGTTTGTCGACTAGATATATCCACTTTACTCGGTATGTTAAGATGTCCATTTTCTTATATATCCCATTGAAACAACAGATTCTAGTTCATGATTCATATTTGGATGTTTTACTGACTCTAGACGAGCCAATTAACTCCTAAATTCTATGATAAACGAGATGACTTCAGCTTTTCCATCGTCAACTTCCCTTATTATGTAAAAGTAATTACTGATGATGTTAATATTCCAATCGGTCCGTGAAACACTTAACAATTCAAATTTCTAAAATGATTTTAATTTGAGTTTTAGAATGTTGATATATTAGTTCAAATTTCTTACTTTCAAAAACTCAAACTGATTTGGTATATTGAAATTTCCTGGAATTTCCAAGAATCCGTGTTTTATGCTTTCCGAACATATTTGCTCTAGTTATAGATTTTTTTTTAGATCTATCACTATTTTTCATCTTCAAATCTTACATTCGTTTTTATACACATAGTAAAAAAATGCACGTTTAAATGTTTTAGTGTAGAACAAGGCGTTCGACAATGGGGTTCATTATTAGGCTTCTTGAATTTTGTTCTTATAAATTAGCTTCTAAATGATCTACACAATATTATTAAAATATGTATATTATAAATACCATTATTTCAAACTCATCCTTTGCAGATAACATAGCTTTTTTTAAGTTAGACCACTGCAATTCTTCAGATGTTACTTATTGTTGCCGATTAGTACTCATGTAAATCGCGCCTAACTTTAAGTTCATGAAAATCAGAGAGATTTAGATAATATATAAAAGAATATTTAATGACTACGCTTTGCATGTCGGTGACAATTTCATACCAATCTTGAAAAATTACATCCATCTTGGTAAACAACAGTCATTAAACCTCCAGTCTCTTCCGAAAACTATCCGTTCCTGCGACAAAGAAAGGCAACACTTTTTTTCGATTAAAGCAAGTAAGTACAAAATTCGTCGCTCTATATATACGATAGAAGAATAATTACTTTCAGTGTTATTCGGTTGCGAGTCACAGGACAATTTGAAAACAAAAAGCGATAATTTTTTGAATAGGTTTCAGCATGATATTGTAAAAGAAAAACAAAACTTCCAAAATATATCTTTTTCCAAATTTCATACAATCTACAGTAAGTAACAAGCATACGAGGGCTGTTCAATAAATAATGTCCTCGGTGCTCGAAAAGAAGCAAAAGACGCTTTTCAATGATTTAGTCTTCATGATTTTACTCATAAATCTCTTTCAATTAAAACACATGTCCGTAACATCTTTTATCCAATTTCTGATTGTTTTTAGAACTCATTTTTGGGTAAGACCCTTAGTATACTGGAAAATGGCAGATACCTATGATTTCCTGGACTTGTTTCTTCCTTCTGAAAGGTGTTTTTTTTCAAATTTGGAAATAGAAACAAGTCAAAAGATCAAAGATCTGGCGAATATTGTTAATGTGAAAAACATTAACCTTCTGTTTATCCCGAAAACCCCTTTACTCTTCAAGGCGTGCGGGTTTGGACGCTGTCATGAAGAAATTTAATATAGTGGATTCCTGATTCTGGGTCCTACCTCCAATAAAACTTTTGAATTTTTTGCAAAAAATTGCTTTCTAGACTCCTCCAGACATTAAACCGTCTCCCCGAGTACGAATTTGAACAACAATACCACTAATATTCAAGAAAATTGCATATAAATCCGTCTTTGTGCTCTTGCATATCTTTGCTCTTTTCAGACTTTCGCTGTTTTCATCAAGTACATCTTATGGTAAATTTTGTTTTGAGGGTTATAAGCAATAGATTCATGTTCCGTTATCTGTTTGAATATCAAACAAATGTGGATAACTACAATTACTGATACTTTAAAATAATTGTTAAGACATTCGTACACGCTGTCGTTTTCACTCATATTTCAAAATATAGAATGACCTTTGAGTACTAAGCTTTTTTGCCGTCAAACGTTTCTTAAAAACAGAGTAAACTACTCCCGATATGATGTCTACCAAATTTGCTATGTGTCTTAAAGTCAATCATACATCATCAAATATTATTTGTTGAAATTTGGCAAACAGTACATAAGTTGTTATGTTGGCAAGGACGGTACCCATTTTTGATGCCCATTATATAATTTTGTATAATTGAAATCCACCTGCTCATTTGTCTATAAAACAGGCATTGGTTGCTGTAAATGTCACAAATTTCAGTGAATATTTCTTTGGGATTTTTAACAAGTTTTACAGCAGCTTTAATGAATGCTTTTATTTTCACTCTAGTTAACTGACACTTTACCATTGATTTATAATGCAGTGTCTCGAATAGCCCTTGTTTCCCAGCTTCTCACGATGAAACTATGTGATGAAAAGTGGTCACATAAACTGTTACAAATTCATTAAAGATTCAATAATGAATGACAGTCAAGCTTAAAATCATATGATATCTGTATTGTATCTCTCTCTCTTGAACAGCTCCTCTATATACGGCTTTTAATTTATTTCAAAATTTAGTACCAATAAGTATAATGATACCAAACTGTGTATTGAAACACAAAAAAAATTATTTAGAAAGCTGGTACCAGTATAGCTCACGCGCAATTAAGTTTTAATTTGTAAATGTATTTAGTGAATAGTGATACAAAGTGCAGTACCTATTGAGATAAGTACCTACTAAATATACTTTTAATATTTCATACTAGTTGAATGGCTAGATGTAGTATTCTTCCTTGTAATTGGACAACGTTGTAGCTAGATAACCAAGGTGAGATAATTTACCGCTATCTGTGATCATCTAAGAAGTGACTGCTTTTGTACTTCTAGAGCTATTGGACATTTACTCTCCATAGCTCTGTTTTTGTTTTAGGCGTTGTGCTCACTAGGATACTTCAAACACACCAAAAACGGGAGTAACGATTTTTTTAAAAAGCCTTTAAAGTTTGAATACAAAATCAAAGTACTGTTTCATGCTTTTAGTTTTTGTTTAAATCTTTATTTTTATTTTTTAAAATTTGGAACTTTTATTATTGAAGCCAAAATAAGGTTTTCTATTTGTCTTGTCGGTTTTGTTCACCAGTTTGTTGGAAATGAAATACATTACAACTGAAAGAACAGAAAAAGAAGTAATGCACTCTAGAGTCCAAAATTCAATACACAAACACTGTAATGACTATTCAATCACTATTGTGGGGTCTAAACACTTTCATAATATCAAATTGAAAAATTAGTTTTAAATCTGAAAAATAAGGGACCTATTGATGAGCCTTTGCTCTTGCAGATATCATATACCTTGGTGCATAAACATTTGTAAAATACAAGTATGCAAGTCTGTTGAGTGTTTTAAAAGGGAAAGAAATATTAATGTGCTCTCTCTCTCTCTCTCTCTCTCTCTCTCTCTCTCTCTCTCTCTCTCTCTCTCTCTCTCAAATACAATTTTCCTGCATCATTTCAATCTCACCAGACGATAAAATAATTATCTCTGGTATCGTTCGGAAAAGGCGGGAAGAATACAGAACAGATACAGACAGTCAGTGATTAAATAAATATGAACATTGTCCTATAAACGGTTGAATAATGCTAGTGATTGAAAAATATTGGACTGAGCGGCATTGTCTAAACCAATTTCGTTTTCTTCCGCTTGTACTCTGATTTTTTCTTTGAAAGTGTAAATAAACGCGATGAGTTTTAGATTTGTGCCGTTGAGATCGTTATTGTACAAAATGTCTGAAAAGGAAAGTTAGATTTAATCGAATCAATTTAAATATATGGAGCATCGACATTCTCTTCTTTCATGCGAATGTATTTTCGTTGATATATACATAGAAGATCTAGTGATACATGTATAGACAGTTAACATGAATTATATGAGGATAACGAACAGTATTCAAGCTCAAAATTCCATAAAACAATTCAAAATAGGAGCAGAGCAAACACGGACCTCCAGAAAATCAGAGGTGGAATCAGGTGCCATGGTGGAGTGAGCATCCCCAGCCGACCGGTCACATCAGCAGTGTGCTCCTTGACATGATCGGGAAGTAACGGGGAAAAATCCTTTCGTCAATTCAGTGTGTAAATAATTGACTAATTAAAATTGCATAATGTTCAGTAATTTTTTTTCCTTTCAAAATCATAACATGTCTAAATCAACTTTTCTAAGGATATTTTATGAAACATTGGAGCTAAATATAAGCACCAACGAGGTATACAAACAAATATATCAATTGGGAAGAAAATTTGCTCTGCTAGGTCCCCCTAAACGTCATTATTACATTACGACTGACCTTCTTTGGGGAAAAAACGTAAGTAATGAATGTTAGAAGGCATTTTTCCTGACAGAGACAGAATTGTATATTAGTCAATTTGAAGGGAAGAAAAATTTTCAGAAAGAAAAACTGATGAGTTCCGTCCGAGCGGAATTGGTGAGTCCATTATTCATTGAATTATGAACTATCAGGAGAGGACACAGCCAGTGTATTTTACTCTCTCCATGATAGACAAATCATTTTTAAGCACTGAGAGTTATGGTAGCTGCATCCGGTGCTCGACAGGTGTCGTTTGTTAAAACATAAGAAGAAAAACCATTTTTTAACTTTAATAATTTCGGCTTAACCCTTTCCTTTTATGTCAAACGAGTATAAAGTCAAAGATTCGGGAAGCTCGGGCCTGATGTGCTCATGGGAAACTGAAATATTAGAGTGAGGAATATTCTTCATTTCTTATATACGTTTATCAAAAAAAATAGTTTTAAGCATCATCATCTCGGTAATAATATGACATTTCTTTTATATTCGAGTTTAAACACGTATTTGACATTGAAAGTGACTTCAATTTGCTAATATATTAGATGATTTAAAAAAATAATTGTTCTAATATTTTTTTAATAAAAGTGCATAAGATGAAGAAGTACCTTATTTTACAATTTTGAATATCACATGTAAGGTGAAAGACTTAAATTGATTATTTGTTGCGTGTGTATGTGAAATTCTATGAATTACAAGGATACTAATGAACAATCCGATTTCATGGTATCTTTCGTGACCCTACACGTAAAGCCATTTTATTCACAATAACTCAGAACTTACGACAAAATATGACACTTTGTTCGGCCTGTTCCCACTTAAGACAGGGAAAAAAGAAGGAAAAATACTTTGGTTCGTGTAGCGAAATGAGATTTCTCCAACCAAGTGCATGGTGATTTACTGCTGTTTCTTCTTTTTTTCATTTTTAGTTCATTTCTGGAGAAATGAGCTTTATATTCATTAGTGAATGACGCTATGATATTGAAGTGGAACATTGTTTTTTAAAAAGAATCTATTAAGATATTTCAAATATTTTTTTGTAAGTAACGATCTACTAAATGAAAAGTAACCCTGCAGCTTTTTCAATCTTGAAAATTTATTTTATCGTGATGCTTGATTACCATGTTTTGGTTAAATTTTGTATTTTGGCAATCTTTTTGGAATTTTTATTGAAATATTTCAAACTTTCAACTTTTCGTTTTTATGTAGTAAGAAACGCCTTTGCATTAGGATTATGTCTCCCAAATGATTTGATACGTAAAAACATGCTCTGCATACCAACAATTTAAACAATTTAAAAAAGAAATACAAGGTATCAAATACATGTTGATGAAACTAGAATTATAGCAGTTTTGTTTAAAGTCACCATTTCTCAAGTTCTATGGTCGATACAATGACCTTGCCAGCAGCAACAATCTATCATTAAGTCAAATGCTGACTATCGTTATTCATGCTACATGTATTTGTTAGGACATGCTTTAAACATTGAATTATATACGGAGTTTTGCCTATCATGACAAGGATCACACAGCAGGTTTGAGCCGTCATAGGGGATGTTTACTCTACCATGGCACCCGATTATGTTTCTCCGAACTGTTCAATGTAAGAATGAATTTTGATTTTTTTTGTACAACCATTCCCCACAATAAAGTAAAGTACAGGCTATTTGACATCATAGACAGTTGCTCTTTCATTACAAAATGGATTCATAAATACTAGTATACTTTTCTTTTCATTGGTCATTTGCAAAATTATTTTGATAAATATCATTCTGATTGCACATACAAATTGATTTTAAAAATATATATGATTGGATTCCAGATTGACAATTATTCACAGGTCGACTTGATATATCCCATTGGGCTTAAAATTAAAGTCACTTAAATATTAGTGCATTCTAAGAATATACCTCTCGCCGTCCAATAATGATAATCAAGGAGTAAAATCAAGGATTAATATGTGCAGAAAAAAAAGTTAGGGGGAAAACAGAGTCTGGGCAATAAAATGAAGGAAATTAATTTGCTACAAAATAGGAAATCCAAGAAGAAGAAAATCGAGCTTTAACTACCTCAACTTTTACACTTCTCAATGGGTTACTTTCTTATTAATTGAAAAAGTACTGTAAATACATGTTAGCAAATTAAAATCCATTTCTCATTAAAAAAAAGAAATCTGAGCTGGGAATCTCTTCACTTAACGAGGTTGTTCGCCAAATGGCCACGCTTTTCATTTTATCAACCGATTAGAATTTTAGATAAAAACCTGCAGTTTTACTTTCCATGGTAATAATATCATCTTGCAATGCCTCTGTACCAATGTCAGATGCCCTTGATTAAAAAATGTTCCAAATCAAAAAATATTCCTTCATCACCTGAATACTGTCTATAATTCCTGCTAAGCTATACCACTGCCATTGAATAAATGCAAGAAAGAAAGAAAGAAAAGAGAGTTCACTCACTGCTTTGAAACCTCTCTCTTCTTTTGTCTACTTCATTATTAGCTTTTCTCTTGTCTACCTATATGATGGTTTCAGGATAACAACTATTGATGCCTGATCTCCAGTTGTGTAATTATCGGACTCCTCTAGCTTACTTTTAAACATTTAAGTTTTTCAGATATATGTAAGCCTCATACATTTTCATATGTAAATTATCAGACTGTTTTCGGCTCTAATGGGCCTCCAACTACCTGATAATTTTACATATAGAACAGTATTCGGAATATATCCCTTACTGAGTCCGACACAACTGTTCCATTTCCAAAACGAGACTAGCTAGTTAAGTTGAGGAAGCAAGTACGTATATAAAGAGTCTCATTTTTATTTTTATTCCCGATACAATGACCTTGTCAACAGAAAGAACCATTTTGTCAGTGTCTGTTGAAGGTATTTCAACCAGTTTCTAGAACTTTCTTGAGCTTTAGTAATGTTCCTTATTTCCATATCTCATCTATCTTTAAGTAACTATTTACAATAGGGTTACAACATTTGAGATCATCAGCCTCATTTAAGGTCATCATTTCGTAAATTCCATGGTCGAGGCAATGGCCTTGTCAACAAATACAACTTATCATTGAGTCAAATGCTGAATGACGGTTTTTCATACTGATTGTTATTCCATTTTTTACACACTGAATTGACGATGGACACAAAATCAGAAATTACTTTGACTGATTTCGCTTTTTCCCGATCATAACAAGGAGCACACGGAGGGTGTGACCGGTCAGCAGGTGATGCTCACCCCTCTATGGCACCTGATCCCATATGTTTCGGAGGTCCGTCTTTGCTCTGCTCCTATTTTGTATTATTTATTAGACTTTGAGCTTGAACACTGTTCTTTATCTCCATATATTACATTGATGGATCTTGGCATAGCATAATGGACCAATGCAGGGTGAATCTAGCCTATTTTTCCTGGATGAATGCATGCTCCGGTATTGTATTGTTTTATGGACCTTTGATCTTGAATACAGTTCGTTATTATCTCCATATGTTTCATAAAGCATTTTGTGTCGATCTTTTAAGAAAGAGTCATAAACCACTTGCAATTTAACTGACTTGGATGATGCCTTAAAGAATGCATATTACTAGACCCGTTTTTGATGCTGGATAAGACCCAGTTTTCAATTGTAAAACATATTCCCCAACACTATTAAATCCACCCAAAAGTGAACTCGGATTGATGTTGAAACAATATCACTTATTTAACTTTATTGAGTTTGGCAACACTTTCTGATACCATTCGCCTATTATGATTTTGCAATCCTCAAAGCGTATGATAAAAAAAAATCAAGATTATATGAGAATTCGGTTAATGAACTATCAACATTTAAATTTCTGAGGTTTAGTTCAAGAGTGATAGTCTTGTTTTTGATTTATAAAGAATATTTAATCATATTTAAAAAGAAATACAAACAAACCCCTTAAAAATTCAGCATACACAAGAAAAAAATCATATTAATAAGATAAAACGCTGTCCGGAATTTGTCGTATATTTTCAGATAAAATTGTAAGCAACAGAAGGCTGCAGTACTTATGCTCTAACTGTTATTTTTAAAGTTAAGTCTCAAAAGCAAGCCATACTGGAGATTACCAGATGCCAATCGGACAGATAGCACATTTACGGAAGAGTATTTCAGCACTATATTTAATGACAGAGTCGGGTCTAGTTATTTGACATGTCTCTCTTCTTTCCTCGAGGGTGAACATCGATCCCGACTCTAGAGCAGATGTCCTGAGTGTGTTAGAGCGACCATTGTAGTCATGTATTTACTCTGGATATGGACGTATCTTTTACAAGTAAGTGAAAATAATTACTTCACAAAGAGAAAAGAAGTTAATTTGTAAGTTTAATTTTTTTTAATCTATATACGTATTTATTATGTCATTTTTTTATTTGTGTAATATATAGTCTATTTGTTTAATAAAATACTTGACATACTTTTAAATGCAGAAAAACAGAGGTCGTTTCGTCTCTCTAACAAATAGTAAGAAGATGAGTGAAAAAATGTGAATAATTACGATATAAAATAGTTGACAACTGCTGCAAAAATGACTAACACTAGTCTTTTGATTACTCTGAAATCATAAAACTTTGTCACAGTACTTAGTTACCTGATTTTCAGGAATGTCTTTTACAAGAATTCGTGTAGCTAATATTCAAAAGTATAAAAATGCTTCATCAAGACGCAAATGCAGATTTAAAAAAGAACTGTAGATTTTGGCATTTTGCGAACATTTTCGAATGCAGACTTTTATTATTATTATTATCATTATTTATAAAGCGCACAATTTTACAAGTAAAATGCAATCAAAGGCACTGTACATGCATAAAAATTGATATGATTTTAAGAAAAATTAAATTACAAATAAATATAATGCCATAAAAGTATACCACTGTAGAAAAACAAAATAAAATAGCGAGAGTCAAAGTAATATTAAAAAGTTAATTGAATGCACTTTTTAAATAATATGCTTTTAAATATCTCTTAAAAACATTAAAATCACCGATGATTCTGAGGTTGGAAGGCACGTCATTCCATACGGTAGACCCTTATATATGATTTATTTTTAAAAAATAATAATAATAAGATTTTAGCATTTCTTGAAAATTTTTCCCTATCAACAAAAAGTTTAGTAAAAAAAAGGAGGGCGAAGAGAAGAGAGAAATAACAAGTTTATAAAGACTTAATAATTGTATTTAATTAGATTGAGAAGATCCTACCTTCTTCCTTATTAATTGAACTTTATCTTGCTACTTGGATCTTATTTTAAAAAGCACAGTAATTCAAACGAACTACGAAAAATAATAAAAATTTCATTTCCAGTGGCTGAAACCTGCATTTTTTTATAATGAAGTGAAATATAGTGTAACCATATATTACGTATTCTTCTGGATTTGTACGATACCAAAACAGCACAAGTAAAAAGGAAGATTACATGTACCATATACGACGAAGATGGTAGATAGATAACAAATGTTAAGATTGATATGGATTAAGCTCTTTATATAATTAATGAAAATCATGGAACTTTCAAAGATTTCAAAATATTTGTATTTAAGGATTTGCCGCAATAAAACTCAGGAAGCCTTAATGCGTTGGTAAAATAGAGTGAGAAACTAAGGGCAAAGTTCTCATTCAGATGACAGCAATATCGGTATTTATGATAGGGTGCTAGACAGAAGATTGTTTCTCTAAATAGACACTTACATTGGAATTAATTTGTTTATCTCCTGGGAAAATATTTTTTTCTATCATAGTCAATATTATAATCATTGTTCGAAATATTTTTGGCTAAGATGATGGGTTTCTTGACTTTATTTTATGACTTGGTTTGATTCTTAAATATGAATGCTACAAATCATGTGTGAAAAAAGTCTCAAAAATTATTATCTCCAGTTAATTGGATGCTAAAACCATGAACCAATTCTTTGTGAGATATTAAATTTGTTTCATCTATATTATTTGGAGAAAAACAAAAAAGTTATGTTTACACAAAATTTCCTTTTACGTAAGGATGAGTTGGATAATTCAGGTTAAAAAAAGAACATTTTTGATAAAATCGGATAATCATAAATAAGGTACAGAGACTCGCTAATGGATTAAAGTAAAGCAATAGATGACTAAGTAAAAACGTACCATAAATATCGAATGTTGAAGTAAAAATATGTCGTTCTTTAGAAATCCTTTGACAGAAAAACTGATTTAAGTTCTCATAAGTTAAAAATTGTGTATGCTAGGTAGATACCTCGTTGAATAAATAACTAATAATTTTATTGTGTTTTGTAGCATCGATGTTTACTACAATTTGCTTTGATGAAGCAACAATAACCAAAAACCAATTTCAAGTTTTTTTTTCATTTCTTTGCATTTAAACGAAACACGACATTAAAAAAAATAAGAAAAATAAAGTCATAAAAGAACAATGAAAAGTTTAGCAGGGAATAACTTATATGATTTTTTTTATGACAGATGACGCAACCAAACTTTTATCGAAATTCCTGAAAATAACTGCCTAATTTTTTTTTTAAATATCTCAATAATTTGATTTTATGTCACAAAAATTGTATAGATTATTAAGAATGGTAACAAAGATGTTGAATTTTGAACATCATAGAAAATTTTAAAAAATTCACAATTTTCAATATTTTAGACATTTATTAGTCACGTCATTTCAATTTAAAATAGGTCCAAATAATATATTGATCCATGCATCTATTTTTGTGTTAGTTATCATCTGTCCATAACTCATCCCATTTAAGTTAAATATGACAATGCTTTAGGATGATACTCCATTTAGTCATGTATCACAGAGTAAACCTAACATATTCCTTATTACTTGTTTTCCTACCAATCCTTTTTTTTTGCTGTCTAAATAGTTCGTGCTATGCAATATATGCACGACTTGATATTCATTTATGTATGGAAAAATTATTTTACTGAAAGACAGGAATGGTATATACTTTGGGCCGTAAAAAGTGGACTTTGCATCACCATTGATTAACAAACTGGGCTGAATGCTTGTTAATGACTAATTATGACAAAATAGAATGTAAAATGTGTTCAAAAATGACAGTTCATCATTAGAATATTTCCTATGATTAGGATAAAGACAAAGCGCACACCATTAGATGATAACAAGCAAATTCATAGAATGTTGTTCCCCGCTTTCAGTACGCGTCTTTGTGGGTGCGATGCCATCATTTTATAGCATACTTTGTCATATATGAACGCCTTATTATTTATCATTCAAAAATTATCAACAAATCTATTTTTTGGAAAATTAGGTCAAATGTGAAAGTCAATGTCAAGGGTCAAAAATCATAGCATGTACCATGCTCGGACACTTCTTGTCATAGATAATGCACATGTTTAATGTGAAATACCTTCTTCTCACTCAAAAGTTATAAGAAAAAAATAATTTTTTGAAAACTAGGTCAAACTCCAAAGTCAAGGTCACAGAGTAAAAAATCTTTGCATATTGGGAAAGCTTTAATCACATGTAATGCCCTCTCTCTTCTCGTTCAAAAGTTTTAACCAATGTTAAAATTTTTTTGACAGTTGGACAGACTGAAAGACTAATGATATTAAATGCTCCCTCGCCATCGCAAAAGCAGGGGACAAAACAATGAAGGAACAACAAAAAAATATCGGCATCTTGTTGAAACAGAGCCATTGCCTATATAGGCAGTCTAAAGAGGAAATTTTATGTTAGTGAGCAGACAAATGGCCTATTCTAGTCTTACAGGAGAGAGTAAATGTTATTACTAATGTTGACTCTGGGGAGTTAACGTTGATATCACCTATAATTGCAGCTTTCAGTAATGCTCTGTGTTCTTTGACAAGAGCTGTATAAACAATCATCCTCCTGATCGAAATGATTTTTCGTTTAATGCCGTTTCACTTTCGGATTAAATTTAATGTCTGTCATGTAAAGCTAAATTCAATGAAAATTCCTGGATTATTGAATAATATTGTAAATGTGTGTCCTTTTTACGTATTTATTTTGATTGATTGATTGAATAATTAGCTCTTAAAGTATAGAGGGATCTTTATCTTGTAAACGCTGTCATGATGCGGTGCCTCTGTTTTATTCGAAAGACCTGAGCTTGAGATAAAAGACACTACAGAGTCTGAAACATCTGTTTCATTCTTGGATATTTTTCTTGAAAAAGACGTTAATGGTAATCTTAGACGGCCAAGATCTATGATAAACGTGATGACTTTAACTTTACAATCCTCAGGTTCCCTTACTTATACAGCAATATACCTTCATAACCTGCATACAGAGTTTATACATGTATGTCACCGTTTGTTCGATACACAAGAGCATGCTCTACGTATGAACATTTTTTGAAACTATGCAAATTATTGACAAAAAAATGATGAAACAAGAATATCTGCAGTCTCTTTTAAAGTCCTAATCTTGTTAGTTCTATGGTCGATACAATGATCTTGTCAGCAAATATAATTTATCATTGACTCAAATACTGACTGACGCTGTTCATACTTATTGTTAGTCCATTGTTTATACACTGAATTGACGACGGATTGTTTCGTTTATTTCCCTATCATGACAAGGAGCACACAGCCGGTGTGATGGGTGGGCAGGGAAATCTCACTCCTCCATGGCACCTGATTCCACCTATAATGTTTTGGACGTCTGTGTTTGCTCTGTTACTATTTTGAATTGTTTTATGGACTTTGATCTTGAATATTGTTTGTTATTTCTATATATTTCACCTACAACTTTCACTTCCAAGTATCCAGCGACTGTCGAATGAACACGTGCTCCATATCTATTTTCGCCTTTGCTTATTTTCCGTCGTGATTTGAACCAACTACCTTCCGGTTTCGATGAGAGTATCTAGCGACTGATGTACAGTGGCGATTTTATTTCTGTATTTTATTAAAAGTAAATCTTTGCAAATAAATAAATGATTTTAACACTCATAACTCAAAAAGTGTGGTGAATAATTGTGATACAAGAAAAATTTTTTAATTAAAACAAAATGCAAAACCCGTGTGAATATAACATAGCAAAAAATATTCATATTGCAAGAGGATTACAGTTTCCAGTTGATCAAAAATGAAATTTTTGCATTTCTTACATCTGATTAATTAAATAAATGAATTATTTTGAGTTCACAGACTGACATGTTATGCCTCTGAGCCATTTTCTGTTGCGTCCTACCTTTAATTTGCACCATCAGATTGAATTCTTGTTTTAATTTATTGATTGCATGTATACATTCTTTTTTTAGTTTCAATGAGGTTCTCTCCTTCAGTTTAAAATGTAAATAAGTATATGGTTTTCTCTTCAAGAATTTCAAACCGTTCACAGCAGCCCAGTTGGTAGAGCGCTCGCTCCGTAATCAGGAGGCAACTGAGTTACAACTGCCGCATGATAAAAATCCCTTACTGCTCACTGGCTCTGGTTGACGAGTAAAGGTTAAAATTTGAAGCCCTTCACCGGTAAATGGTTTCGTCTGTACATGTGTGAAAAGCCTCAAATAGGACGTAAAAAAACATACAATAAATCAATCAAGAATTTAAAAAAGTACTGTCCTAATTCAAACACGTGAGAGGTACTTTAAGATATAAAATAATGTTGCAAGGACGATAAAGCATAGCCATTCCCTAATGATATTGATAGATGAGTCAAAATACTTATTCAATTTATCTATCTTGTGTACACTAGGTAAAATAAGGTAATATAATTAAGGTTTTAAATTTTACAGAAAGAATTTAATGTAGAGTTTCATTTAAAAACAAGAAGATTCGACTTTGGTCATTCCCGGTACTGTTAAAGCAGCACAATGCTTCAGCTGTAAGCCATTGGATTCGTCTAGTACAGTAACAAGAGCAAACAAATTGATTAATATCACTGTCAAAGGCAAATGTTACATTGGAAAGAGTTAAATTGAAATTGATTAGCATGTCCATGATAATGCAGAACGCTAATCGAGAAACATAAATCGTGTATAAACCTACCTCAAGAACGATAGTTTTTACAAGTAAAAACATATGTTAAATTATACAAGATTGTGCCTATACGTTAAGTATTAAAAACACTTTTAAGGACAGATGATACAAACAAACTTTTGTCAAAAATTTTGAAAATAACAACTTCGGTCATGTTTTAATGAATAAAAGGAATAGGTTTCCCCGCATAGTTTTTAAATTTTTATTCAAACTTGCACAAAAATGGAATTTGAAGTGAAAAATATTTGTATAGAATGATAAGGATGGTTTCAGGAGGGTAGAATGTGAACGTCACAGAAGGTTTACAATTTCTTTATAAATTTATTATTTGCATCATTTGCAGTGAAATTATTTTTAAAAAATATATACCAATCCAGGCATCCAATCTTTTGTTTGTATCATCTGTCCTTAAGACTGTATCTCTTTCTTTTATCAATTACTTAAGATACCAAACTGTTTATGACTGTCTTTATGTTTTTATGTTCTTTTTCTACTCTAATATCATCGGAGATATGTTTATAAACCTACATCCGGAACTATAGTCTTTTTCAAGTAAAAATATATGATAAGTACAAGAATGTGCTTTTAAGTATTTAAAACACTTTTGGAACTACATTTTTATTTTATGATTTACGTAAAATACCAAAACTGCTTGTGACTGTTTTTGCATTTTTATGCGCCCGAATCGATAGATTCGGGGCGTATATTGTTTTTGTCCTGTCTGTCTGTTTGTCTGTTTAGCTGTTTGTCTGTTTAGCTGTTTGTCTGTTTGTCTGTCTGTTGTCAACTTTAACCTTCGCGATAATTTTTGAACCGTGAGAGATACAGACTACATATTTCGTATGCCTACTCCACTAATTAAGCTCTTTTAAATGATACCAAGGTCATTGACCTTTCGACCTTGCATTTGGCCTATACGCTAAAAATAGGTTTTTCAAACTCTTGCCATTACTTTGGAACCATAGGAAATAGGGTCTTCATATTTAGTATGCCCACTCCACTAATTAGCTTCTTTCAAATGACACCAAGGTCAATGATCTTGTGACCATGACTGTGACCTAAATGCTAAAAATAGCTTCTTCGGACTTTGTTGCCGCCGGGCGCATAGTGTTTCACAAACACAACTTGTTTTATTTTGTTAATCTACTCTAATGTCAGTGAAGTTAAATACATTTAATTTGCGTTTCTGTTTTTGTCATCAGATAAATAATCGCCAGAAAATCCTAAAACACTGTAGTACCAAGCTGTGTCAGTATAATTAATAACTCATTTAAATTTAATACCCTCAATTTCGTGATACCAAATATCAATCTCTATAAATTCCATAATATACAACAGATTCGATCACATCATTCTGTTTTCATATTGGGATTTTTTTACGGACTATAGAAGGGCCAATTAAATTGTTTGACAAACAAATTGACTTTAGATTTTCTATAGGTAACTTTCTTTATTTATAATCCAATATTTCGCCCTTACTTGCATGAAGGATATGGAAATAACGAACAGTATACAATATCACAGTCCATAAAACAATACAGAATAGGAGCAGAACAAACACGGACCTCAAAAACATCAGAGGTGGGATCAGGTGCCATGGAGGAGTGAGCATCTATATGGGAAGAAAAAATATTATTGCTGTCCAAAGAGTGCCGCTGATATCAATTATGCACAAATACGAAGGTTGTCAAGTAAAATCGTGGACAAAACGTTCTTCTCGAAAATTATAATAGGCGCACTAAGCTGAAATTTTCAGCAAATTGGATTTTTTCATATTTAAATCTTATCTTATTTTTTCATATAAAATATGGACAATTATTTTAACATTACCTCTATATGTTTCATCTAATCTTTTAGTCAAAATTGTATCTTGACATATTCAAATCCAGCCAATTTTGAAATCGATAAAACAGGCATTTTGTTGTATGATAAAAAGCATTTTATACACTATATGCATCGTCGCTGGGTAATTTGAAAGCATAGAGAATTATGTTCGCCTGTCGTGTGATCAACGAGCATTATGAATATTTTATTTGTAAATCATTCTGTACATCTGACAATGTGTGTATACCATTCTTATTCTCCATTTAAAATTAAGAAATATAAATATTTCATAGTTAAAAAGGGAAATCACTTTTATAATACGCTAGTTTAGATGAAACATCTGTTTAATATTCTTTATAAGTTCATATGCATGTTGTGCTTAAATTTCTGTCATCTGTTTGAACGTACATGTACATGTATACTTATTTATTTACAGGTCTTACTTCAATGCTCTGCTGAAAAGGACCTACAGAACGCAGCTTGCAGATCCTACCTTGGTGTACACGATAGACTTGACCAATATCGCTTCAATTCATATTCGTCGTGTTTTATTTTCCTCTTTTATCAGTTAAATCCTAGAATTAATTCAAATTATACTGAAAGTCAACCAGTTGTTGACTTCATCTACAAAAGCCAGATAAAACAACTTGAATCATGGGATTATAAAAATGATACTGTGAAATCCAATGTGTGTTCATTTCTGTCACGTGACGAATGCCAGCGATGGATATTATGTTGTGAAGCAGCTGATAATTGTTGTGAATATCAATTAGCACTTCCGGTGAAAACAAATGACACATGTGGCAGGATATGGGACGGGTGGCTGTGTTGGGAAGAGGCTGAACCAGGGACAGTCCAGTATAGTTCCTGTCCTCTATTTGTACCCTACTTCATGCCATCACGTGAGTATAATAATAATATAATGATAATAATACTTTATTTAAAGAGGGTAACCCGATTAGTGCAATGTACTAGTCTTCCTCGGGGCCCTCTAAACACATTCACAATAATACAATTATAAAAACATTGTACAATATTATAATAAATAACACAATATGACGTACAAATCGGTTTTAGGACATGGAATTATATTTCTTTTAGTTGCTGCATGTTATCATAAAGTTTTCTACATTTTTACGAAATGTCTGTGCAGTTGGTGAAAAAAATATTAGCACACCTGTGTAGTTCCTGTCTTCCTTTCTCTACTTTATGCGCTCTAGTGAGTATCAGTCAGTACAGAATTTGCCTACTCTTTGTACCATCCTTTACGCCATCATATAAGATAAAGGACTGTTGAAATTTTGGAGTAAAATGTGTCTTCATAGAAGTAAATGCAACCCAAACTATTTTCCATTTAAAACGAATAATAATCTTGCTTGCTTGCTTTGCTTGTATACTTATTTTATAAAAATTTGAGAAAATATTTGGGAAAATTGGCCGTTATCAATCTGAAAAGTTCATCGAAGCAATTCAGATCAGTAATGAAGCAAACGCGTGTATGGATATTTTTAAACATTAGAGACCATTGAGTGAGCGATCCCTGTCAGCTGATCACAACTGTTACATGTTTCTTATCATGATGGAGCAAATCCAATGTAAATATTGACTTAACAATTTATATGATAAAAGTCATTTAGCATATATTTTCATTACGAATTATATTTGTTGAAAAAAGCATTGTATTGACCAGATAATTTGTGAAATGTTGAATTAAAACGAGACTTCTATTTTCCTTGTGTCATCAACTTGTTTGTCGATAGCATGTCATTTTGCGTAGCAACTGGGAAGCAAACTGTAAATGCAGTTGACAAGGGTATATTAATTGCTATATAAATAAGGAAAGTTAACGTTTATTACAACGTTAATGATAACGTTTGTTGTCTGCGATAAAAACAAAATCTGTATTTATGTTAAGGGATTTTTTAAGACACATTGGAAAAAATATGCCAAAAACAGTAATAAAGGCTTTCATTTCAAATGCTGGATGAAATCATTATTGAAATGTCATAATGCTAAACGTATTTGTTTCGAAAAATCTTACTTAATGCAGACATATTGACAAGGTATTTCAAAAGAAAGTCTTAATATAAAATTGACAGATATCTAAATTGTGTAATACTGTCTAAAACTTACCTCTTAGTGCCATTCAAACAACGTGCTTTCTTCAGATCCTAACCTAAATCGTTATGTAATTTCAAGACAAATGGAAATAATCAAATTAAGCTACTGATTTGAATCAGTTTAAAATCTAATTATTTTAATATTAAATCTTAATATATGACTTGTAACACACATTTCGATAAAGATTAATTAAATGCTAATCAAGATTTTTGAAATTTAAGGAATCAAAAATGAAATCCAAGCTGTTATTGATTGTGCGAGTATATTTTTCCTCTCTTTACAAGAAAGAGAAAAAAAAATTTACATTTACACAGAATGACTGTAAAGTTATCTTCGTTAGATGATTAACTTAATTCAAAACAAGTTTAATTGGATGTTTGATTTTTTTGTTTGGTTGTTATTTTTTAAGGTCCCTTGTTTTTCTTTTTTTAATGCCCCTTTCACTTGTATAATAAGAAGCCACCATGATCTGGCAGCCTGTTCTTAGCACACACAGCCTTTGAGCAGTGCAATGGATGATACTTGCTTATGCAATGAAATACAGGAACAATGCGCTATGGACGAAGCGCATTGAACTATTGGATGAAACGTTCTGAGTCATGTTTTGACCGCTCAGCTATATATATCTTTCCGCGACAAGTAACATGCTAAAATGAAGATTTTTAAATCTTCTGTAAAACACGATGCCGAATTTGTACATAATTATGATTTTAAATTGGAGTTAGCATAACACATGTATCAGTCGAACACGGCACCGCCCTTTGATTATATTTATGAATGGAAGTGAGATTTTTCTTTTCTACAAAATATTTGGACACACGTATCATTTGTTTTCTATCCTAGAAACTTTATCTGAAGTGCAGACCACGATGCTCCACATGATATATTTATGTACATTCTGTAGTAGAAAAATCGATTCTGTCATTGAGGAAAAGTGTACTGTTATGTCCGAAATTTACGTTAAATGTATAAATCACTCTTAAGCCATAGGCTACTTTGAATCAATGCAAGCTTTTTCCCCCCATTACAGATAATATTTATTAGACTCCGCGTCACATTGCTATGAAACTATGTTTAATTGGGTTTAAACGAGTATAATATAATTCTATAAAAAAATATTCATCACAAAATGTACAAAACTTGTTTTTTTTCCAAAAATATACATGTAGTTAATTTAAAAATTATATTATATAGGACAAGCAGTCAGAATTTGTGGTGATGATGGCAAATGGATACAGAAAACAGATTACAGCCCTTGTCTCAAGAAAGAGGTCAGTTCAATTGTTTGTTAAATTTGATACTATAGTGTTTTTTCAGATGCCACGTTGTCTTCATCAGAGAAAAAAAATCACAAGCCTTCTGTAATAAAAATTTATATATATATATATATATATATATATATATATATATATATATATATATATATATATATATATATATATATATATATATATATATTTTAAATTTCTTCAATTTTAGTTCGCTTTTTGGAAACTTTTGACAATATTATAATTTAAAGCCGGTCGGACAGATTTTTAAAATTTATTCTTGGAGGGAAATTTATTAATCTAGCTCTCTGTTTAGGAATTGGAGAGGACAATATTTACTGGCCTTGGTTGTAGTGTCACAAGCATTGTGTTTCTTCTTCCATCCATTATCATATTCCTGAAATACAAGTAAGACTATCTGAAGTAGACCATGCATCAAAGTATTATAATCATAAATATAGTTTGGGTTCAAAAACATGTATAAAATTAAAATAGTCATGTTCCTTTGCAGGACACTGCGAAATCAACACAGAATACGTCTTCACATTAATCTGTTTCTGTCACTGATGCTAAAAGAAGTAATGGGAATCATGTGGGATATTTTAGTTACTTATAATAAGGTTACAAGTACGGAAGTCTCCGATGCTACGTTGATTAAAAATGGGGTAATTAGTTTTGAACTTGTACAACTTTTAAAGACATGATTGCTTTCATATAACATTTGATTTCGGATGTTCTGTGTAATTCATAACATCGATCAATTTGATAAATTATTTTTGAAAAAAAGTTACTTCAACATATAAACAATAAATGTACAAAAAAATCTTATTGTTTTGATCTATATAAAGACATTTTAAAAATGGCAACAACTTGAATGGACTGTAAATATAATTTCATTTTCTCTCCAGGTAGGATGTAAGTTTCTGTCTTTTATGAAGATTTACTTTAAGTGCTGTGGGTACACCTGGATGTTCTGTGAGGGTTTCTACCTACACCGACTGATGTCCAATGCTTTCTCTCCTCCCCGCTCATTGCTACCCATCTATATACTGGGGTGGAGCGTCCCCCTCGTGTCTTCCTCTTTATACGGAATTTTACGTGGAATCTACAACAATGAAAGGTAAAAATATTAATTATTTATACCAGGTATGGCAATCGAATACAGGATAACTTGGTGGCTAGTTGTTACATGTAGCTGATACTAGGGCCTCATAGGTTTTACAAAACCCAATTTCTTTTCATTAGGCAACAGAAAATTGAGAAAACCATGAAACAAAAATCTGAAATATCCGATCCATACATACATGTATTTCATTTAGCCATTTCACCATAATCACATGAAAAGAACAAACTGTTGCTTGATTTGCAATGTTTGTTCCATAATATAAATTGCTTACTGCAATGGAAAGACAAAATAAGGTAAACCTTATAATAAGTCCACAATACTCAATAATAATTATATACAAATATAGCTCTTTCATGTGGTCGATGACTGGATATATATCGACTTCACAGCAAAGCATATCGACCATGTATGGTCAAAGTGGGAATTAGCTGATCAGAAGAATGAACTGAAAAAGACTTCGACTGGTTTGAATGACACATGCAAGAGAATCAAGTTTATTATAGCATGTTACAGAAATTCCCATCTAGTATTAGAAAGCTCGATTTGTTTTTTGTTTGTTTGTTTTTGTTTATAGTTAGAAAGGTCTGGTTTAAGCCCATTAGTATGCTTTGAAACGTGATATCAAAATACGCGATGATAAAACTTTCACAATTATTCTTACTTATACTAGTATTCAATTAAGCTTTCAAATATATAGAAAAGGCTACCTTTTATTGTATATTGCAAGTTATGAGATTTCTCTATTAAACTTTAAGAATATAACTTTTTAATCTGTACATATTATTTTCAACCAAATATCTGGTCACAAGTTACCATTCCTCAATCATGGTTCATATGTATTACTACTTACGGTTCTGATCTAAAAATTTGTTTTCTAATCATTTCAAGTACTTCAAATACACCGGTCTCTCCTTATTTTTCTCTTTTCCTACATGCAACAGCTGTTGGGCATATGGATATAATAATTTTGAGTGGATATTCGACGCACCAAATGTAGTTTTCCTAGTGGTAAATATTTTTATTCATAATTGTATCACATTACAATGAATCCAAGCAAAAGATTTATACAATATAAGGAATAAATAATGCTTACCTTAATTTTCCTTCTTTTAGCTTAATTTGGTTTTCCTGACAAATATTCTGCGAATTCTCCTGACACAACTACAAGCACATCCAAATGAGCCAGGGAACTTCAGGTTAGTTTAAACATGATCACTGCGTCACTATAGACTTAACACTTTTTATCAAAACTTTGCATATCTGCAAATCACTTTTTACAATGAAATGTATAGAGATATTGAACAGTATTCAAGCTCAGATGTCCATAAAACAAAAATAGGAATAGAGTAAACAAGGACTTCTGAAACATCAGATGTGGGATCAGATACCATGGAGCAGTGAGCATTAATAGATAATAGATCATCACGATTTATATAAAATTGGTGTTTGTTTTTTTTTTAAAGAAAATTGTTATTTTGAGAATTTATGAGGTTAAAGTCTTTATGTTTATTATGTAAAATGTGTGGTATAGATTGCCATAGTTTTGAATTGCTTTGACTAAAGAAGTTCCTGTATATCAACAATCGTTCATGAAGACATATAATTGTTCATGTAGATGTACTTGTATGACTTGTACATATAGATGCACATGTATCAGTTTTTCATGTAGATGTTTTACTTATTTCTGTAGATATTTACTTTTTCTTGCAGATGCTTAATTTGTTCATACAGAGGATTTACTTGCTCATACAGAAATTAAGTGTATTACATTTGATGTATCAATTGTTCATATAGATGTTTTGTTCAGATAGATAAATAACTTGTTTTTGTGAATGCATCAGTTATTCAAATTGATTTTTCTTTGTTTTTTAAACTTGTCTCTATAGACATTTTACTTGATAATGTAGGTATTTGAATTGTTTTTTGTCAAAATGAATCGATGCTTCAATTGTAATTTGATGAATTACTTGTTCCTCAGGAACATCCACTTCTTTCTAGATATTCAGTTAACATCGAGTTCTTTCGAAGAAAAAAAGAAATACTTAACAAAAATAACACGAATTTATATTTCTCTTTACAGAAAAGCGGTAAAAGCCACGTTTATCTTGATTCCTTTATTTGGGATACAATTATTTGTCACCATATATCGTATCCCTATCAGCGAGGAAGGGGGGCTAGAGTATGAACGAGTCACCGTAGTAATCAACCATACACAGGTGGATATCTAGAAAAAATTGATATTGAACAGGGCAAAAATAAAACATATATTTATAGTAAAGAAAAGAAACATTCACATTTAAGAGGCCAACAGGCTGCACTCCTAAAAGATAAAACAGATATTTATGGTAAAGAGAAGAAGAAAAGCCGACAGACCGCAATCCTTATCTTACCTCACGTACCCTTTATTATAATGAATCTATATGTTAAGGAAATTTGATTCCACAATGCCTTCTAACTTTTATTATTCTTAATGAATTTTGAAGCTTGATACAGACAGTAAACGTCTCTAGCTCAATGAGAGGGAAAACATCTAAATCAAAATTGCTCATAAATTACTTTGCTTTAATTCTTTACACTGTGCTTATATTTTAATCTTAATGAATATATATGTTTGATATTTGGCATAATTTATATTTACATGCAATACAAAGTGCAGTGGGTATATGAAATTAAGCCTTTCATTAAATGTTTCTATATTACATCTTAGATATATTACATTCTATTTTACATGTATATTTCTTACTTATGAACTTTTCTTAATCTTTTTTCAAGGGCTTTTTTGTGGCAATGGTGTTTTGTTTCCTAAATACAGAGGTAAATTTTTTGATTTCCATTAAATAATGCTAACTCCTTATACCCCCCTATATAGATATATAATTATGTACAATATCAAATTGTAAGGTAACAAAAATATTAATGAGGAAAAGAATTTGCTCTTCAACTATGATCGGAAACGCTTTTTGAAATGAATTATATTGAATAATTAATCATCTGTAATTCATGTAATTAATGTGATGATCTGTAATTGATGAAATTCCTTACAGGTTATATCAAACCTGAGAAGAAGTTGTCGACATCAAATAAGAGACAGGTCACTCTCGTCCTCAAAGCGTCTGAACCACACCATTCATCAAACACTCTCTGTACGATCTGAATATGACGTCACTAGAGATCATCACCAATCAAAAAACTCATTATTGGAGACAGGACAGGAAACCGAAGAGATTGAGTTAAAAGAAACATCTTTATTGAATGGTCATCGAGAAAATAAATCATTAGAATGAATATACTTCTTTTATCATAAATAGTTTAATTTTATGATTAGGTCCTCTATGACAGGTCTGATTAACTTGGTACATGTATAACTTTACATTTTAAGAACCATTACTATATCATGAACCTATAAAGGGCCATGAAGAATGACAATTCCTTTTGAAGGTTGCCATGGTATAATACCTCAATTATTCACCTAATGGGATCGTACAGTTTTAATATTTGCTTTAATCTGTAAGCTGAATACCAACAAAAATGAAGAACATCCAAAAAATAGAAATTGTAATTTCTATAATTGTAATTTCTTAAGAAAATAGATAGTAGAAATTTTAAATTTATTTTTGCTTTCATAAATATCTCATTGCAAAATTTAAATTTTAAAAAAGAGAATTGTTTGATAGCATATCTTCTCATAAAGTGTGACCGGTCGACAGGGGATGCTTACTCCTCCTTGGCACCTGATCCCAGAGGTCCGTGTTTTATGCTCTCTCAACATTGGTGTATTGTTTAAGATCGATCACGCTTCATTATCTTCATTACATTACAGGAAGGGAGCATTTATGCATTGTCTTTATATTTTGCTTTTCAAAATGTTTTTGAATTTGTCCGTCGTTTTAAAAATGCTGAACTTTGCTTTTTTGCTCAAATTTCCTTTTTTTAGATAGAAGAACACCTTATTTGCAGATATTCGTGAAGAAAAGGGGAGAAAATAGTTAATGGTGTAACATTGCGAAGGCAAATAGAATTAATTTAAAAATATAAAAAGGCTTAAATTAGTTACAGATCTGTATAATTATGAAAAAAGAGCTTTACCAAATCATTTTTCTATTGAGTTACCTTTATTTTAATGCATGTGCCTTTTTATCTGCGTAACTAGCAAATATTATATTTCTTTATTGTACATTTTTCTATAAAGTGCAATAATGGACACTTGCATCTGATGTTCATTCGAATTCAATTTTTCTTAACAAATTGATTGAACTGGGCTAGAAATATATTTTTTGGCTTTAATAATTAAGCTTGGATATCTGTATACGTTTGTCTTCTTAAATTCTTTTAAAGAATAAATGTGTACCTATGTGAAAATCCATGGTTTATAATTTCGGATAAAAAAATAACTTTTTCAGATTTTTTTGATCTGCTTTTAGACTTCAAAGCTATTAGCAGAGCGTTTTTGGTCTGTCGTAATCAGCTCCCCACATCTGAGAACTGACAGACGTGTTTTGTGTTTTTGTTCTGTAAAAAGATCACTTCTCTCCCTGCCTATCAAACTCTTTGTGAAGTCTTCAGCTGAAGACAGCCGATTGATTGTCAGAGGTGGCGAAGCCAATTCAAGTGTCGGAAGGATTAGTTTAATCTGGTCTCCAGGGCACTTGAATCAGGGGAACGGGAATTACGGATCAATCCAGAGACAGTCAGAAATGACAGGAGAGAATTGTTTATTGAATAAAGTGAACACGGTCGAGACCTTCCGAGTTAATAGGAGGTGTCATGTATTCGTACGCTGACGAAGTGAAAAGTAAGAATGTTATTGTGTTGAACTTTTATTAGGCGGTTATTACCCAATGAGTGTGATCAGTATTTTTGTTGTACTTTATTGATATAGACTTTTAAAGGGAAACCCCAAGCAATCTAAAATGTGGAATCAAATTAAAACTCTGAAGTTCGTGTAAAGAATTGAATGCAATCGACGCTCTGGAGCAGCCGGTGATACCCATCACTGTGCAATTACACGTCATGCAATGCTATCTTATGTACAATAAGTGGCACTCATCACTTCGCAATAACTCGTCATGCAATGTACCATCCTCTTCTAATATAAAGGACATACCTTTTTACCCATGAGTCTACTCTGTTCTGTTTTTGCCAAACATATAACATAACACAGAGTTTGTCGAAAAAGAGCATTTATTTTTGAAAATGTCAAAAAAAAAGTTTCGAATCTTAAAAGTAAATACATGTATGATACACTTGAAATATCTTCGGCACAAAATAGACAGTAAATCTCATGTGAAAATATTTCATTGGATGTGTACAAAGATAAATGTGCCTAAGATATACACATTACAAATACTGACGTATAAATAATAAATGTACAACATGTATTGCCCATAAGACTATTATGGCAAAAAAGATGGGATTAATCCTTATGAAAAACGCCAAGACTTGTCAAATTGACAAGTGGCCTCTCCAATAATAGGCATAAGAAAATACGGATTAAAATGAAAGGACTACTTTTTGTGCAGAATTGTGGACTTTTAAAACAATATATTGAATAATCCTTATGAACGAATTAAAGTTGATTTTGATATCCATGTTTAATATCCATGTTTGAAACTGTCTCCTCGACGTAAAATACTCATCTGCATAATATACCGTGTTTCATGAAATTTAGTGGGCTGTTTACTTGGGCTTTCTCGCCGGTTTTGAAACAGCCCGCTTAAATTGTATTCGCTGAATTTGCACCCTTGAATACAGATACAGAACACACACGAAATTTGATCAGCCTGTTGTTTAACAATTTATTTTAATTTCCATGTGGAATTGATCGCATCTCTGATGTTTTGGAGGTTCGTGTTTTCTCTGCTCCTATTTTGTATCTTTTTTAATATTTTTTTTTAGCATTTTTGTTACCTTGAAAACTTTCGTTATCTCCATATATTTCATTCAAGTAAAGCGATATAACTCTTGCTTGTTTTTGTCCTCAAAACGATCGATTATAACATGCATACATCGTTTTGTAAATATTTGAATATATAATTAATCATTTAGTGTAATTGACATTAGCATGATGAAATATTAACAAGCTATTCAACTGCACATCATTAAGACGTTTCACTGCATGATTTACAAATTTATCTTTAGACGAAATATTAAATATCAGGGAATTTCAAGCGTCACACGTTAAAGAACAAAAATGAAAACTTCGATGTGTTCTTTTCAATCGTCGTTATTTCACTTTTTTTCTTTTCAATTTTTGAATAGGCACACTGATACAGTATACAATCATGTAATTAACATAAAACTGAATCACATAAATTATTGACTGAATCAACAAATTAATGATGATTATGACAAGATTTTAAGAATTTTTAATAGCCTTTTTAGATAATTATACATTGTACCTATATGGTGGGAATATTCTGGGTTTTTAATATCATTATAAATATGATGGTATTCCACATATTTCCTTTTTATTCATTTTTTTTTCTTCTTAAATGCTGTTCAATTTTTGAAACGTGATTATAATGCAAATGAACGCAGGGTGACTTAAGTTCATCATTTCAAACAAAATAAAAAATAAATAAAAATAGAACAGTATATATCACAGACATACGATATCACAGACAAATTGTTCCTCAAGGGACACATTTAAAAAGCTTTGCAGTGCAGCTTTGCCATACACATGTTCGAAAAGTGATGAATCTTCTCCAATAAAAACTAAACGTTTATTTCAAAACAGAGAAGAACGATAAGTCGATTTCATCCATTTTTTTCTCCTTTGAGAATATATGAATACAACACAATGTCTAGCATTAAAATTCATTCATTTATACTCGTACATGCAGGTCACGTGTCCAATTGATGCTGTTAATCCTCGTGTTCGAAAGAATCGAAAGTAAATTGTTAAGATGCCCGTGCATACAAATTCTCAAATTTCAGCACAATTAATTTGTTTAGGCTGCAGTTTCATCAGCTGGCCACGTTTTCAATTTCCTGGTCCATTTTCTCCTTTGCCCACTGTAGCTGTAATGTTCTGTCCACGCGATCCATAAACGCTGAATGGGCGGGCCGATGACGTAATCGATGTCTCTGAAATAATAAACACCAATCAAAATGAAGATTACTTCTAATTGCCCAGTATTGTAAAAACCTAAATGTATGTCTAACATCTGTGCTAAACAAAATTTTCGAAAGTTACATCATCCCAGAAAACTGTCATTACATGTAATTATCATTGAACAACTGTTACAATTGCAAGGGATGCTTACTCTTACATGCCACCTGATCCCATTTCTGCTTTCAAAGAACTGTTTTGACTCAGCCCATTATTTAAATGAACTTTCGTCAGAAAATTGTTACTTTTCTTTATCTTTACATGTCTAGTACATAGAAGAATTTGAATTGAATCAACCTGATCGAAAAAGTTATGACCAGTTTGCAATTTTAATATTTATCTCAGTTAAGTAAATCTAAATTAAACAAAAGTTTGATAGATTTGTGCCAAATTCACCATCTTCAATTTGAGAGTTGAAGAAATCAGTTTTAAAAATAGAAATATACAACAACAAAAAGTTTCAAATTGCTTTGATTGTTTGATGTTTAACGTCCCTTTTGAAAATTTTTCACTCATATTGAGACGTCATCATTTGTCGGTGGAGAGCTACAAGTTTTGTCCTCCATTCGGCATTGAGGGCCATTGAGCAGTGGAGATCTTTTTCGTGTTAAACACCTACAGCGACACGACACGAGACCTCGTTTTATACGGTCTCATCCGAAGGACCGGTCTCCACGTCCCATAGTGTTTCATTAATAAAAACGAACGTATGAAAACTCACATTTAGTTCGCCTGGTTTGGTTGGCCAAGGTCCCTTAGGTAATATCCAATCAGCATCATATTTCTTATCCGGTGTTTTAGGTGGCGCCATCTGTCTACCTCGAATGTCTCTATCAGCAGCTTTATCCATAGGAACCCCATGAACTTTAAGATATCAATGGATTTTTTTTATCAAATAACATTTCTCTTGAGAAAGAAAAGAGGCAACCAACTGAATTATTCTCATTTTTGCTTGAAAAAAACATACATTTATCGCTATACTACTTCGCAAAATGTTTTTTGAAGTACATGTAAGATACAAACTTATATTCAATCTGCCTGTGTGGAAGTGAATATTAAATGGGTCCTTCTCATAGTCTGTCATAAACTCATCAAGTCCCAGCTTTTTGATTGGAGGATACTAAAAGAATATAGAAAGACATTCGTTAAAACATCTTAGATATACAGTTTAAAGACTGCGGTTTTTTTTCCTGAAAACTTGCGTGTAAAGAAAACTTAGGAAAAAATGAAAAACATTACTTACTCCTCTAAAATCATGAGGCTTCGGATTTGAGTATTTTCCAGCTTTATACATTCCTTCTCTCACGAACTTTTTCTTTGCAGTAAATGGGCGATCTATATGGTACCGGAGAATCATTCGTCCCTCCTCGGGTTTTGCCGGACGAAGCATGTGAGGTATTACATTCCTTTCAGGTCTCTTCACAGTTTTATGCTTCCCGGGAAATGTTCCAAAGTTTTCGGGTTTCATGGCTTCCCTTGAATTTCTTTTCGGAGGCTTTGGTGCAAAAACTTGTGGTCGAAAGTCCGGGGGTGGGCGTTTCCAAATGTCGTTGTCTTTCTCGGGCTCGACCTTTGAGAAATTCTCACTCCGAATCTGAATGAGGGATTCGTTGGCGTCGTACTGTGTTTTGGAGGTAAATCCAAAAGGGACGTAGGTGAAGGAGCTGGCAGCACTCGCCATCCTCCCGTCACTCCTAGACATCATGTCTATGTCACTCATTCTGCTGGCTTACTGGGGGCGGGGGAGGATCCCCAATCTAATCCAAAGAAAAGAATTCGTCAAAAAATTTATTCTAAGGAATCGTGTGAAATTCCAGTTTCGCACCAAAAATGTACAAACAATTATAATATCCATTGGTTCCTAAAACGTATTTTCACGGCTGTTTGCAACATGAATATTTCATTTCTCATTTTCATTTGTACATTTTCTTCATTTTAAAAAAAAAATTACAACAAATTACAAACAAAAGCTTAATTAATTAAAGTTATTTGCAGAATACCGTGTGCCTCAATTCCCCTAACGTGTCAGGTGCAAGAACATATAATCTTTAGACTTTGTTTACCTCCTGTAAAGCGATTAAACACTTTGTTGTGTCAATTCGTGTGGAAAATGTTTGTTCGGAAGTCGATGTCTTTAACAGTAGTGATTGATATGGAAAAATCACAAAAGCCTGTTGATAAATAAACATGGCACTTACCTCCTATGTACCCCTGTGTATTCCCTGAGCAAATGTCAAATATTTCTTAAGTAAATCTCTCCATTACGGGTATAATCTTTTCAGAACTAAATTTCAGCCATGAACGGAAGTACCTAGTTGCTAAGTAATTTGTGTTCTTTAAAAGTATATCTGTCATGCGCGATTTAAAGAATTGCTAAATCAGAGCGATTCTTTTTCATCAATTTATATTTCATTTAGGGGTTATTTAAATACCCGGAGTCTCTCAACGGGCGCGTTAATTGAAAAGCCGGGTTTAGCTTTTTAGTCCAATATCGATATACCTTGAGGTATTTAAAAATCTGCATGGAGAGCTTTTAAATGACAGCGCTGTCGGGAAAATTTTCTTTATACACCCGGAAAACACTTATTACATTTGAAAAGCTCTAGATTTCAATCAATAAAAAGGAAGTGTTTCTATTGAATTCGTTTAATTAAAAATGCGTATCGATGACAGCTCAAGGATTTAAACTTCTCTTTCCCAATAATCCTTGTTCCTAAATCAATACCTTGCAACTGACACTGATCTGTTCTTATATATGAATTTATTGTTCTTATTGTTGAATTCAATGAATTGTACAAAATTATGAATTTTTCCATTAAAATTTGTACATGGCAACAGGGACCTATGTACATGTACTAAGTTAGTATATAGGTCCCTGATAGCAAGGACAAATTTTAATTGAAAAATTCAAATTTTGGTAGAGGACAATAGTACAAAACCTAAATTTACTTCTTTAAAAGCTTACTCGATTGTGAAGCTTATTTCGTGTGTATCCAATGTACGATTTCTAGATAAAAGTCTTACAATGTACAATCTTCAGTGCACTTGACGTTAAATTGACGTGTATGTGCATATTTTACTGAATTTTTTTTTATGCTTTTAGACAAATGTATTCACCGACTTTTTTCCGATCAAAATGTCTTTAAATGGACCGTTACCAATAGTAGCGACATATCAATGCTTAATTATCCCCTCCCGGGGATTAAGATTGGATCGGCAGTTCGACAGTTGATCACTTGTCGCACGTGTAAAATCATACATGTTAACTCTCCCGATTTAGGCGGGAGTCTACCGCTTTTTCACTCCTTCTCCCGCCTACCGATTTAATTCAGAAATCTACCGCTTTTCTACGAAAGTTGCGTCTAAAGTATTTTTGGTTCGCTTGGGTATCCATTTTTAAAGCCACTCTCATAAAATCTCGCTAGATATCGCGTGATTTGACTCGGAATCATACAAACGCTTTTTTTGTACATAGATTTCAAGCACGGATTTGACAACGACAACAACATAAGACTACCAGTGATTACATTGTTTACGATAAAGTAATCAACATCCCTGCCATGAAAAAGTATATTAGATGAAAACATGTTCTGTTTAATCAATAGAAATCACTAGTTGGATCTCTATGGAATAATTTTGCAGACAAATCAAAGTTTAAAAACTTTTTTTTGCTTCAAGGCTATTTCAGTAAAGATCACTCTTCAAAAGGCAACTCTGACGAGCATGAAAAATATTTGAAATTATTAATTAAATTATAAGTTCAAAATTTAAAAAAAAAATTAAGTCTCTTTCAATAAATATAATATTACACGTATCACAAACTCTTATTGTTTTGTTTAATCGATTAGTTGGAATGGAATAATTTTGCAGACAAATCGAAGAACTTTTTTTCTCGTATTTAAGTCCCACAACACTCGGATAAATGAAATTATTAATTAAATTAAGTTCAAAATTTAAAAAAAAATCAGTCTCTTTCAATAAATATAATATTACACGTATACAAACTCTTTTGTTTTTCGCCTTTCGTTAATGAAAATTTTTATTTTTCTCTTAAGATCATGTCTGTACAAAATTTTAATTTTTCACATTAGATCATGTCTGTACAAATGATGCTCATTTCAATTACTAGTCTATTACTTTTTATCCTTTAGTTTCTAAATACATTATTTTTATGCATGTAACATATTGTATTCCAGAAATGTCTTCTCGAACATCAAAGACGAAATAAAATATCGTTTTAACACGTTTACCTGTCCTTATACAAGGATAAAAGTTGCACTTATGTAATGTACATTGATCTGTATTGCGTTTATTGATTTTTCGTTGTAAACATGTCGAGCGTGTCTGCGACACCAATAAAAATCAATGTTCCGTGACCATCAATATATCCTAATTAATAGAATTACCGTAATCAATTAGACTGAATAGGGAGGAACAGCACTCTGGTAGGTAAATTCTAAGGTAAATATTTATTTAATTTATAGAAAATCATTTAATAGAAAACGAAGAGCTAGTCTAAGATAAATTGATTAAATCATTAGGTACGTTCAAATAAAATTAATCAGTGAATTATATAATATATATACATGTATAACTTAAATGCAAATAAATGATTAATTCATATGTTTTCTACCCCGGTAATAATTTAAGAAATAGAATCCAGAATTTATTGAGACAAAGTGATGGGAAAGGGGAGAAATATAATTTTTGCATGATTCATTTATTTAGTTTCATGTAATATTACACTTTTTGACCTTAATATATTCCTCCAATTATATGCGTGCGAAGAAAACTTACTTGTACATTAATCGAACGACCTAACCAGTAGACTCATAAACCTTTATTCTAATCTTTACTTTAATATGCTACAATTCAGTTAAAATTATTCAGAAGCTAGAAAAATTTAGTTTATTATTTATCGATTAATAACCTCTCAGGCCAAACGGTTTCATATAACAACGGAGATAATATTCTGAATCAGTTAAATTTTTTTTATTGAACGTATCTTAGTCTAGATCATGAATTACATAATAACATCATAACTGTAAAATGCAGAAAGGATCTTTCTTTTAAATTCTTTTGGAAAAATATATATACTTATATATAGGCAGGCGGGAAAAATAGTTTCTTTTTATTTCAGAATTATTCTCCTGAACCAAGTTGTTCAGCCAACGCTTTATAAAGTTTTATTGTCACATACAAGACTACAGAAGCTGAATAATCTCTAAGGAAGGGAATGTTTTTACCGCGACCACTGTTTCATGTAAATTATTATGGCAACCTGGACAGGAACAGCACATGGCTTCGCCCCAACACCTCATACAGACCTGAAAATATCATGAACATTTTGGACATCAATACTGAAGTAATACGAAAGCACACACATTCTGTTGATGTTCAACGTAACCGGAAGCGGAAGGAGAAAAAGAAACAGAAAAAGGAAAGCGTGACTAGTCAAGACACTCCTGTATTTAATGATCAATTTATTCTTCGTCCACCTCAGTCTGTTGAAAAGAAGACAGAAAAATGTTCAACAAAGGATGAAAAAATTGACAAAAGTCGAAGCCAGAGTTTGATTGATGCTTATAAGCAGTCATCCTATCAACCGTTTGCTCTGTCTAATTCTTCCTTGCATGACACTTGTTGGACAGGATCTGACTTTCCTACAAAACTGTCATCTCCAAAACATTCTGATTCCGTATATAAAACAGAATGTAAACCACAACAGGGTTCCGAGGAATCTAACCCTCAAAGGGGAAAAGAGATATGTAAAATAGAGACAATCAAACACAATGATATTTTGGCGCCGAGGAACAGGATCTCTATAACAAAAGATCCAATAAATGCCAAGAGGATACAGCAGTGTGAACAAGCCAAGCTGAGGGCCCTGCATGCGTCTGATAGAACAGGGATTCCACTGGCCGACATCTACACGGGGCGGATCTCATTCATAGACAAAAAGAAAGAAGTGACTCTCAATATGGAAGAAGATGTCAGTCAAAGGACGAGCACTGAGATTGGTGCTGTGGAAAGGAACGTTTGTAACACACAGCCTGCCGCTATTCCAATATGGTAAGTGAGTAGGGATCCTAATCCTGTTACAATTAGATAATTTTTAATGGCCATTTTAGAAGTGTGCACGTCTTACAATACTCACTTACATTGTGTGTTTATTCATTCATTTTAATTAACAAGTTTTTAAAAAGTCAAATGATTTGAAGAATCTAAGGTATAAAAAAGGTTTCAGAAGTGCATGAAGTTGATCAGGGACCTATAAAGTAACAGTATAAAGGTCCCTGAGTTAATTTGCTATAATTATTTCACGTTAATAAATATCGCATTTTGTAGAATATGGTGGATGCATGAATTTTTATTTTGTATTTTAAATGCAATTATTTAGATATAATATATATTTCAAATTTTTAATCGTCTATGTTTAGGCCCGATAAAACAGTGACATTCCCCGATAACGACAGCTTTTCCTCCGATTGGACGATGTCGACTTCCGGTTGTGAGACAGAGGAACCAATCACATTACAGGAAGTCCGAGAGCACATGTGCTATTATGTCCTCTGCTGTGGACTTTGTATTGATTGAATCATTGTAATGAACTTTGCAGATCTTGAAAGGTTGATGTTTCAAAGAAATAGTCTATGTTACAGTTGAATTGTTTTGAGGATACATATCATTGACTCAACTTATTTTTTAGCAAATAGCACAATTCTTCTTGACCCTGATGGAGGTACATGTATTGGTAAAAATAAATGGTAAATATAGTACAATAGAATTGATATACACCGTATACTGGAGGCAAATTTAAATTCACTTCGGAACTGGATTAAAAAATCAGAAGTAAACAATTATACACAAGTCGAACCTCTTAGTTCTCTTGTACAGGAGGTTATAAATTTATATGGGATGTAGGATTCATTTGTAAATCGTTTCAATATTTTGTATGTCCTCTATTTTTAATGTGTATTTCACAATGTTCTTCTCTTTGCATCCATTTCTGTTTTAACAAGCTTTCGATTTTTTTATGTTTATGATAAAACAAGATTGAATCAATCGTCTGTTTCCCTACACTTCGTGTTAAACTGGTCAATTTGACCATCTTTAAAAGATTGTTTGTACAATGTGAGCCCTCTCTCCCGAACGAATGAATTAAAAAGAATCAAATCAAAACTACCGACTCAAATTTTTTTTTAACCTCCTGAAAAAAATTATTTTTTTTCAAATCATTTTGAAGTTTACTTATTCCATTTTTTATAACTATTTTACACCATTCTGAATAAAAATTTCCACCCCCTACCTACCAATCCAGTCTTTTTAATTCTGAATAGGGAGAGGGCAAGTAAACTAAGCATGAACCCAGTGTTTCTCTTCATGTACAACACTATTATTATATATAGAGAGAAACCCATTAGAAAGATTATCCTTATTATTATTCCCCAATCAAGAGAGCTCTGATCTAATAAGTTCAACTCTTGGTATTGATTTCTGCTAAAACATAATATTTGCTTATGATAATATGATGATGTCTTTTTAAAGCTTCTAAATAAAGTAGACGAGATATTAAGGTTTTATTTTCAGTACTTTGATCACCAAAGTTTTGTTGCACATCATTTTTCGCGAGCAAGTGATGTTGAAATTATAAACTAGACAACATTTTCACGAATTCTAGATACTACTCTGCATAATTTCAAAGAGTAAAATATACACGAGAATTTTTATTTTCCGAGCAGACACTTTTGCGTAACTACATGAAAATGAAAGTTCGCGCGAATAAAATTCATTAAAGATATTCAAAAAATTACTCAGGGCATAGACTTAGAGCGAATTGAGTTTAGGTTTATGCTCAGGGAGGACCCATGATACGGAGGTCTTCTCAGATTTGTTAGAGAAATCTCTACTTACTTAACCGTTTAGTTTTGATTGAATTTTCAATTTTGTTTCACTGGTGCCAACACATGTAATAATTATGTTAATTAATATATCAATGTTATGTTATTGATTAAAATTGTAATAAAGAAAAAGGAGGAAACTTTGACCGTAAAAATATTTAAGATTTAAACTTTTATTTTTTTGACTGACTAAAAATAGATATGTCAAGGATTAATAAAAAATAACTTTCTCATCTGCTCACGTGTTCTAAAGATTCTTTAATCATTTGTTAATCTTGATTTTTCTACATGAAATCCTATTTTATACTATTTTTATATAATTAATATATTCACTGGATATCTTTAATATCATTAGATTTCGTCTAGATGCAGAATATACGGGGTCTTTGCATTAAAGAAGAAATAAGATTGAAATAATATGATGCCTTTCATACTAACACAGGTGATTTTATCTTTATTTTAAAGTGATTAGTTGTGTAAAGAATATGATAATAGCAAACTGCGATCAATCTGATATGTTTTATTAACTGAGCTGGAGGCTGGAGAAACTTATAATATGTAATTAAGTGAAATAAGCATCCCCTGCGGACCGTTCAAACCCACCTTAATCCTTTGGTATTGATCAAATAAAAACATTAAATTATAGTTATAAGAACAGGAAAACAAGGGGAAAAGTCGAGCATTTTGCTGTCAAATATTCTTTAAGTACCCTGGCCGAGGTTACATTGACCGAATCAATTCAAGATTGCTTTTTTGTGCCTCCATAGCTCCTGACATTTCACTAGGCGAAATTTACATTCCGGTTGAATTATCGAGAAGTATTGATCATAGAACTTAAGAAATGATGACTTTAAACGAGACTGCTGATATTCTTGTTTCATCAACTTGCTTGTCAATAATTTACCTCGTTTTAAAAATTGTTCATACGTTACGTACAGCATGCTCTTGCGTTTCGAATCAACTGAGATATATATACTCTGTATGCAGGTGATGAAGGTATATAGCTGCATAAGTAAGGGAAGTTGACGATATAAAAGTCAAAGTCATCACGTTTATTATATAATTTGGTTATTAAATTACCATTAAAGTCTTTTTCAATTAATATATCCAAGTATGAAACAGATGTGTCAGACTCTGTGGTATCTTTTATCTCAAGCTCACCAGGATATATCGTATCGACGAAGGAATGGAAATTACCATAATTGTTAATTGACAATACGTCGTCGATATATCTAAATGTTGAGTTGAAGGCCACAGCAAGTGTTTTCTTCTTTTCACACATAAGATTTTGCACAAAGTCTGCTTCATATAAATATAAAAATAGGTCTGCTAATAACGGAGCGCAATTAGTACCCATGGAAATTGTTGGAATACCTGGCCTCCAAAAACCACAAAGATATTGTCAATCAGAAGCTCAAGCATCTCTTTGATATCAACTTCAGAGTACTTTTGTGTGCAAGCAGAATGTGTTTTAACAAAATAATTTTGCAAATGACCAATGACCAAGTAAGTAAATTTACGAGTTCCACTTTTAATGTAAAAGCAGCTGTCAATGATATCGAAACGCCTGGATTTTAATTTATCATAGGGGAATGGTTGTGTATAAAGTTGAAAAGTCGTAAGTTTTTAAACTGTTGATTTCGGTAAAAACTTGTGATTTCAAATTGTCCAAAAGTTCTTTGGAATTTTTGAGTATCCATATCTGATTCACACCACTTCTTGAATATATTGTTGCACTACTTTTGAAGTTTTTCCTTCACTACCAGGTACTGTTAATATTTCAGTGAGGAGTAAGGAAAGAGGCTTGGTTGAACATTTACTGGAACCTGCAATGTATCTTTGTTTGTAAGGATCTTTATGAAGTTTCGGAATCCAATATATATAGGGTAGTTCAAATTCTTTTTGGTTCTGTGGAATATCAAAAATATTTAAAACTGGCATATGATTTTGAAGAATTTCTTCCTTAGAAAGGGAAGTATGAGTATAAGAAATATTCAAGAATTAACACTTGTAGAATTAAAACCAAGTTCTTCTAAAATACAATTCTTATAATGAGCTTTACAAACGAAGACAATGTTGTTACCTGCTTTGTCGGCAGGGACCAGTACGTACTGATCATGTAATCTATCTAATTCTTTTTTCACTTCTGGATTACTGAACACAGAAGGATAGATGTTTTTCATATTGCCCCTCAATCTTTTAATACGCGACTTTGACATTGATCTGACACATTTAATCAATTTTGACACTTTTTTTTTGGTCTCACAGAGGAAAACATGGGAGGTGGGGGTTATATCTAGTGAGGTCATAGCTCACGTACAGTACCTCTAGTTTTGACTGGGTTGTTTAGATACTTTACAGGTACATGTGCGAAGTATTTTGCTTTGACACAGTATGAAGAAAAGAAGAAAACGTTACAAAAATGAAATTAAATGTTCTGATTTTCATATTAAAAACGCTCTGAAAATATACACAGAACAGAGTGAAAGGGTGGAACAAAACAAGATTGATACTAGAGGGACTGTGAGACTGAGCTCACTAGATGATGCCCTACCCCGCCTCCCATATGATTTTATTAGCAAAGTACATGCTTTGCTCCGGGGAACACGAAATAAGCGAAAGATCATAAAGTAAAAGGGGAGGTGCACCACGGCATTATGTGATAAGTAATCTGTGAAATTATCATTACATTTTATTTATTAACGTCTGTCCGATAAAGTAGAAGATGCACAATGGCACTATGTATATAACAAAGATTCTATGAAAGTCTCATTCAATTTCATTCAGCGGTATAGGAGGAGTTGTGGATAAGAGATGGGTAACTCAGAGCGTAACAGATGGACGAACATCCCGATCACTATTTATAACCTCCCGCTTTTCGAGCGGGGAGTATAATACTATTAATATTAGGGATGTCAACGAATATTCGAATATTCGAATATTCATTCGATGAGTTGATATTCGAATATTAATTCATGATTCGAATATTCTTTTTTAAGTATTCAACTTTGCAAGTTTTAATAGAAATTGAATCTAGTTTGTACAAAATTAAAAAAAAAACACTCCTCTTGGATTACCTAAAAGGTGTGAAGAGTGTATCTATTAAAGTAATTTAATTATTTGTTCACTTAATTAGTGGTATAATAGTGTCCAGTACTTATAATCAGCTTGTATTGTTGTAAGGACACAGTTTTACAGTATACACACGGACCCTTTGTTTATGTAAATATCATTAAAATCATTATCAGGAAATTAAAATTAGCAAAAAGTAATTGTTTTAAATATTTCACCGTTAGATAGTACGTTGTTCTGCTAGATATAAGTTTGTAGGAGTTATTGATGTAGACTTTAGTAAGACGATCAATTAATCTGGAACATCCTAAAGAATCCTTTGAATTTTCAAAAAACAATCATTACATTTTGGATATATACTATTCAATAATTAAAAAAATATATATAATTGCAGTGCGTTTACCGAACTCTACATGAGTGTTTTTATTCCAAAATAATGCCATAAAACCTATACTATATACATATATTTAATAATGCAAGATGTATATTTTTTATCGAATATTCGAATATATTCGAATACTTCTATCGAATATTCGAATATCAATTATTGACAATATTGCTACATTTTTCTGCCAGCTTGCGGGGCTCAATAAATCTTTTACTCCTTTAAATTCTGAATCTTTG